AACAGCAAATAACTATTTTTTTAATTTATTATACAAACAGATAATATCAAAAACATAAATGGAACTTGTATTAGAAAAATATAAAAAGAAACCAAATTGCTACATTGATACATTGCAAAGGGATAAAATTTTCAAGTCCCATATTCATTGTATATTACTAATTGCTAGAATGGAAGGATATGAAGCAATTTTTAGCCTTCTTTATGCACAGATTTACTTTGCATGCGGAACAGTAAAATGACGATGTAGTATAATTGTTCTTGTTGCTGCAATACTTACAAGTACAGTACGTACCTTGCCAAGCACTGGCCAGTAAGGTAGCGTTTGATCAAACCTCACAGTATCATCAGGCCTTATTGCATGTTGGTACTGCATAGCAACTGGCAATTGCAAGCTTGACAAATCATTACTGTCACTATTGGAACTACTTGTTGAAGCTCTTGTAGTTGTTCTGCTGGTGCGTCCCAACTTATTTCCTTTGGATCTTGCAATGATAGAGATATCATTCATGAAACTCTTCAGTGGCATGCACTTGGTACTGAGTGATTTACAATCACGGCAGTAAAGAAGCCATGCATTCACAACAGCCAGATCAAGAACATAGGCAAACAGCCGCATGTACCAACGTTTAGATTTCATAGGTGTTTTGTGTAGATGCACCAACATGTTACTTTTGTCAATACCTCCCATGTGTGCAATATAGTTCTTGATGACTGTAGGGCAATGGACCTGGGTTCTGGTCTTTGTATCCTTGTTATATCTGTCAACAATACACAGAAGATTAACCTTAGTTTAATATGTTTATTATGCACCCCATACCCATCCAGTGGGCGGTAGTCAAAAGATTACAGAGGTACATAATGGGTCCAGGGACTGGGCCTCAAAGTTTTGATAGCTGAGCAAGTTACAGAGGTAATGAATTCACAATTTACAAAGGTAATGAACTCACAATTTACAAAGATAATGAACTCCAGGTAGGTCTAGTCACAATGATGACAAGTTACAAAGGTATTTACAGATTACAGAGGTACACAATGGGTCCAGGGACCGGGCTCCAAAGTTTTGATGGCTGAACTAGGTACAAGGTAATGAACTCACAAGTTACAAAGGTAATGAACTCACAAGTTACAAAGGTAATGAATACTGTAAGAATGGTTACTTACGTGTATACATGGCTGCAATCATGAACAAATTTTAGAGTAATGAGCAATTCACACACCCCCTGATCATTTGTCACTAAAGTCACAACTTTGTTATCCTTCCATCTTACAACAACGATACCATCATTGGTACTGTTGAAGTCAAAAGTGTCCCTGGGCACATTGCTCTTTTCCATTTGTTTGACAGGAACCAGGTTTGGCTTACCACATCTATTATCACGTACAGTTTCAGTGTATCTGCAGTTATACTTGTCTCTTAGTACCTTGACCAAAGATAGACTTAAAAAAAAATTGTCAGCATAGATTGCTGATGTATGTCTTTGATTGATAGTGGTTGCAAGTACCAGAACAATCTTTGAACTTATTGGTAGTTTTGTTTCTTCCTATGGCAGCTTTATGGGATGGCTGTCAAGAGTTGGTTTGCCTTGATACATGAGTATATCATGTATGAATCCATCTTCACTTGCACGACGAAACAGTTTGAAACCCCACTTGGGTTTTGATGTACTGCCTTAGGTTTCCAGCAGTTTTACCCCTGAAAGCAACCATAACTTCATCAACAGACTGCTTGGGTGTAGGTGGAACTTTCAAGCAAGCATTAGTTAGTGCAGTGTAAAGTGGCCTTATTTTGTGGAATCTGTCATTACCATTATTTAGTCTGTTATCATTGAAACGGATTGTATGCCTAAGCAACCTAAATCTCTTAGATCCCATGACTTCTGCAACCTGGGGTATCTTCAATGTATTTGCCCAATATTCTTCAATGGCTGGGTATGAATTAATACCCATAAACAACAGAATACCTATGAATCTCAAGATTTCTTCAGAATCTGTTGAAAAAGTGGTATGTCTTTTTGCTTGGCATACAAATTTATTTGTTAGGTTATGTTGTCTATCATGTCTTCAGTAAAGAAATCGGTAAAATATTCATATGAAGACCTAACTGCAAGAGGCTTTTCATGTTGGTATTCAGGCAAAGGGTCATTATGGATGTCACCATGGGTCCAGCTGGGGTTACTGTCAACAGCAAGCTCATCATGAATATCTTCTTTATCAGGCATCTCCTCGATCCTAATACCTTTCTTTTTCTTGACTACTTTTTGCTTTTTGGCTGGCGTTTCTTCCTCCTCATCATCACTTGACACCTCTGCATCCAGTGGCAAGTATTCATCACCACTTTCAAGCAATTCTGGGTCATCTACCTCCAGTTCTGAGTCACTTTCCTCCAAAACGCAGACATATTTTGACTTGGTGTTGGAGGGCTCACCATAAAACAATTTCTCATTGATCTGGAAGGACAATAAAAACGTTCTGTACACATCCAGACCACTACAAAATTCATATAAGCAATAGAAATATTTTTTATAAATATTTATTTACTGAAATTGAAAACTGGCCCTAAAAAGGCAGACCAACATTTATTGAGGCTGTGGAAAATACTGTATATATTTTCCGGAAATACGGTAATTTATAGGTAAATAGATGCCCTATATTGTATTTTTAAAAGAAGTATGTTATCGAAAATGGGAAACCTGCGGCTGGGGGGAGTCACTCGCCATCTTGGTTTTGAATTTTGTACAAACGTTGGTGTAATGGGAAGAATTTTTTGTAATCTAGAGGTTAAAATTGTGTTGACACCTCTCAAATAGGAGGCGAAATTGGTGGATGTGCATTCCTGCATAACTTGAGATATCAGACGACTGGACAAGACAGCTCCAGGAACCTCAGATAAGCTCTCTAGATTTGTGTGTAATTCTGGCCAGCATTATTTTCATAGATTTAGTTAGAGTGAGGTTTTCTGAGTATGATACACATTAATCTCCAGTCAAATTGGTGAGTGATATTAAGATATATTTTCCTTCTGTTATGTAATTGTGTATATATATAACCATTTATTATTTTTAATATACAGTCCACAAATTTATATATTTACCAGTATTCCTGGTGTATGTATATTTCATTTAATTAATAGGTCCAGAGCAACTTGTGGTTATGACAGCGGTAGGTATCGAAGGGGGACATTTTTTGCGACCTAGGTGTCCCAAATTCCTACTTGTCTATGTAACACTGATAAATAATAATTATCTTTGTTATTATTTACTGTTATGTACATAATTATTTACATTCAGATAAATGCAATTTTCCACATTTAATTTGCCCGTTGATCAAGTAGCAAGATATCCCTGTTATCTATCGTGTTTATGAGACAGAAAAAGAAACCAGCAATCCAAATATATTATATATATATATATATATATATATATATATATATATATATATATATATATATATATATATATATATTATTTTATATATATATTGATGTTATATATATATATATATATATATATATCAAAATATGCCCATTTACGCACTAGAAATAACAATCAGTACTTACCGACATTGTAGAAGATAAAATCCAAGGGTATTTGAGTCTCATCAACCAGGCTGTTACTGCTGGCTGCACGCAATCCAACGTACGAGCCACAGCCCGGCTGGTCAGGTACCGACTTTAGGTGCTTGTCCAGTGCCAGCTTGAAGACAGCCAGGGGTCTATTGGTAATCCCTCTTATGTATGCTGGGAAGCAGTTGAACAGTCTCGGGCCCCTGACACTTATTGTATGGTCTCTTAACGTGCTAGTTACACCCCTGCTTTTCTTTGGGGGGATGTTGCATCGTCTGCCGAGTCTTTTGCTTTCGTAGTGAGTGATTTTTCGTGTGCAAGTTCAGCACTAGTCCCTCTAGGATTTTCCAGGTGTATATAATCATGTATCTCTCCCGCCTGCGTTCCAGGGAATACAGGTTCAGGAACCTCAAGCGCTCCCAGTAATTGAGGTGTTTTATCTCCGTTATGCGCGCCGTGAAGGTTCTCTGTACATTTTCTAGGTCAGCAATTTCACCTGCCTTGAAAGGTGCTGTTAGTGTACAGCAATATTCCAGCCTAGATAGAACAAGTGACCTGAAGAGTGTCATCATGGGCTTGGCATCTCTAGTTTTGAAGGTTCTCAGTATCCATCCTGTCATTTTTCTAGCAGATGCGATTGATACAATGTGGTAGTTGTGGTGTAGTGATGGTAGTAGGTGTGGTGTGGGGATGGTGGTAGGTGTGTTGTAGGGATGGTGGTAGGTGTGGTGTAGGGATGGCAGTAAGTGTGGTGTAGGGATGGTGGTAGGTGTGGTAAAGGGATGGTGGTAGGTGTGGTGTAGGGATTGATCATTATTTGACCATACACTAGCTGCTCAGGCAGCACTACTAAAAGAAAAAACAGCTCTCATTGCCTGTACTCGTGATCGTTTCGACTCCAGAGTTCCGGTGGACGTGTGCTGTCGGCTCCTCAAGTCGTCACGACCCTTAAACAAGACACCAAGAAAAGTTACTTCCCGTGGGATTTCAGCATTATTAGGCACACCATAGCCATCTTGTGAGTGGTAGTCAAAAGATTACATAATAGGTCCAGGAACTGGGTCGTAAACGTGTTTGCTTAGATATTAGGACTCCTGGTTATGCTGGTGTTTAGACCTGAGGTCCAACTGACCTCAGCTGAGAATTTAATGATCCCGTTACTCTCCCTGCACAGGTTTAAACAATATTTTTGTCCCCGGACTAATGTGGGACTGAAGTGGCAAAAAAGAGAGCGGGGGAGTAAGTTGGAGAGAGAAAAATGGAATAATAATTGGTGAAAGGTAGGAAGAGGAAAGGGTGAGTAGGGAGAGAAATGCTCAGCTTGCTAGTGGCTTCCTTTGTGCTTAACAATATTTTATTACATGTAAAACAACATTTCGTATGCAATACACATTTTGTACACTGCAGAAATAAAGTTTGTATGAGAAAAATGGTATGGCTCAATAAATGGTCAGGTTTTGGTGGCCCTTAACATCCCCAACAACACCGAGGACTGCTGCTTCACGTGGCTGGTTATTTTATTATTATTAACCAGATAATACCTACAGCATGACTGTAATGAAACGTGTGGTGTAAGTACTTCTATTGACTGTAATGTGACGTGTTTAATCTAAGTTTAGGATGTATCACAGCGCTTCTTTTTTTATTATAATAGGATGTATGAGCAGTAATTTAGGGTAATAAGTCTGTATGACCCTTGTGGGTTTAGCTCTTAGTTAGTTATGATTCTAATAATAATAATGCAGTTTAAGAACTTATAAGAATATCATAATATTTAGTTACTTACACATTAAAGCTATATATGGCTTTAGTATAAATAATGTACTGTACAGTACATACCACATTGTGAATTACAAAGTAGACGAATTAGAGGGCTATACTGTTCTGTATTACTGTATATTGTATCATTGTATATTGTATCACTGTATATTGTATCATTGTATATGTATCACTATATTGTATCATTGTATATTGTATCACTGTATATTGTATCACTGTATATTGTATCACTGTATATTGTATCACAGTATATTGTATCACTGTATATTGTATCACTGTATATTTTATCACAGTATATTGTATCACTGTATATTGTATCACAGTATATTGTATCACTGTATATTGTATCACTGTATATTGTATCACTGTATATTGTATCACAGTATATTGTATCACTGTATATTGTATCACTGTATATTGTATCACTGTATATTGTCTCACAGTATATTGTATCACAGTATATTGTATCACTGTATATTGTATCACTGTATATTGTCTCACAGTATATTGTATCACAGTATATTGTATCACTGTATATTGTATCACTGTATATTGTATCACAGTATATTGTATCACTGTATATTGTATCACAGTATATTGTATCCCTGTATATTGTATCATTGTATATTGTATCCCTGTATATTGTATATTGTATCACTGTATATTGTATCATTGTATATTGTATCACTGTATATTGTATCATTGTATATTGTATCATTGTATATTGTATCACTGTATATTGTATCATTGTATATTGTATCACTGTATATTGTATCACTGTATATTGTATCCCTGAATACTGTAATATGCCCCAGCATGATAGTGGCTTTCTTTGTACAGTACTTAACCAAAATTGTAATTACACATTGTAACCTTTAGCAATAAATAAAATCTTTATTCTTATTTACCTTCCCTGTGCTTATTACTGCACAAACTTAATTTTATATCTTGTATTTCAGAAAGCCTCGAACCCGAAGGGCAAAGCGTGGCTTGGAGCATCGGGCACCAAAGATTACTGAAAACACTAAACAGTGTTTGTTCTTTTATGGGACAAAAACCAGTGATAGTGTTCGGCAGTGTTTAAAGAATTTTGTAAGTAAGCACGACTTATTTTGAAAGAAATGTGTACGGATATCAGCTATTTTTTGAAAATCCAACCCTCAAGGAAGGTTCTTTGATGCTGGTGAGGGGCTCTTGATCTAGGGAACTGGATCTGTGCTCCAGTTCCCTGAATTAAGCCTGAATACCTTCCATTCCCCCCCCCCCACAGGCACTGTATATTCCTATGGGTTTAGCACTTCCCCCTTGATTATAATAATAATTTTGAAAATCCAAGAAGTAACTACTGTACATTCAATACAGTATAAAGTGTTCTGGGAGAGTACATGATACATTTTGGAGTGCTCTAGGAGAGTACAGGATGGGTCTTACCATGCTCTAGGAGAGTACAGAATGGATCTTACCATGCTCTAGGAGAGTACAGGATGGGTCTTACCATGCTCTAGGAGAGTACAGAATGGGTCTTACCATGCTCTAGGAGAGTACAGAATGGGTCTTACCATGCTCTAGGAGAGTACAGAATGGGTCTTACCATGCTCTAGGAGAGTACAGAATGGGTCTTACCATGCTCTAGGAGAGTACATGATAGGTTTTTGAGTGCTCTGGGAGAGTACAGGATGACAAGGTTTAGTATCATAGGTTTGGTGAAACCATAACAAGTGTATCATATCTGGATGAACTGTTATATTTTAATTATTTGCACCATACTGTACAGTAAATTTGGGATGAGTTTTGAGTAAAATGGATTGGATGAGAGATGAGGATATTTTCTAGCGAGCTTACAGAATATACGTACATACAGGTTTTTGGGCCAAACTAAAGCTAATAAACATGACAAAATGTTAATACACTTTGGAGGCAAGTGGGTTTTTTACTGAGTAATACAGTATCAAAATACTGTAATGGCATAATAATCACTACTAGTTACAACAGAGGGCTGCAATGTGCAAACTTTTGCACCAAGAATAGTGCACTCTCAATGTTCTTGGTGTTGGATAAACTGTTTATATGTGAGTATATGTAAAAAATAAGTGAAATATACCTGTGCAGTTTTTTCAAGGAATAAAGATGCAATTGTTTATAATTTTCCTTTTTTTTTTTTTTAAGGCATACCTGTAGTACAGTATATCAGCATTCATTGTACATTATGTTATGTAAATTTGTTCGTATGTTTATATTTTGCCTGGTGCACTGGTTTTCTCACCCTGGAGTGGTCCTGGGAATAGTGGAGTATACAGTGGACCCCAGTTTACGATCAGCTCCCAATGCGACCAGTTATGTAAGTGTATTTATGTAAGTGCGTTTGTATGTGTATGTTTGGGGGTCTGAAATGGACTAATCTAATTCACAATATTCCTTATGGGAACAAATTCGGTCAGTACTGGCATCTGAACATACTTCTGGAATGAAATAATATCGTAAACTGGGGGTCCATTGTATTTACAAGACCAACCATGAAAATTGCAAGAATAGTGTAGTAAGTTATGTGTGTGTTAAAGTCACAAATACATACTGAAATTTTACGAAAATAATTTTCTAACTTTTTTTTTTCCCTAGTACTCATTCAAGAAACAGGATGGCAAGTACCTACAGAAGAAGAAAAGGTATTTGCCATTTGAAGACATTCTTCCAATAGAGCATTTGTCACAGAAGTACGATGCATCACTCTTTTGCACGGCATCACACACTAAGAAAAGGCCAAATAACATAATTTTAGGTATGATAAATTTACAGGGTTATAAATACATATATCTTAAGCTTGGCAATAATGTTATTGAATGATAGATTCAGCCTTGCCCCTGCTAAGATTCATCCATACTGCTTATACAGGAGGGCCCTGTTTATACAGCGGGTTAGGTTCCAGGCTACTTTTTTAAAGCAAAAAGCACTGTAAAGTGAAACATAGATTTGTGTCATTTCAAAATGCATATAAAAGCTTGGTTTACACTTTGATGTATATTAAATGAGCAATATAGCTAGGCCTAAAAAAAATGTATACACAGTATATGTGTGTACTGTGTACCTGAAAATATTTTCATTCTTATCTTATAGTGACTTGTGAATATATTTATTGTATAACCATTCATGCTTACCTCTTTGTGTTATAAATTACAAAACTGTACTAGTTTTACATGCTCATTCTATTTTACTATCTCATAATTCTACAGTTGTTCATTTTGTTACAATGTGCTATTTAACTGAGAATCATACTGTGTCCCCTTCATTAAAGCAGCTTTTTAATTGTATTCATAATTTGTATTCATTGTCCAGGCCGAATGTATGACCATCATCTCTTGGACATGGTAGAACTTGGATTAGAAAATTATCGGGCACTTGCAGAATTCAAGAATGAAAAAATTTCTGCTGGCACAAAGCCTTGCATGGTCTTTTGCGGAACTCAGTTTGAAGATGTGACTGAATTCAGAAAACTAAAAAACCTGTTGATAGACTTCTTTCGAGGTGTGGAAGCACAAGCAGTACGGCTGCAAGGATTTGAACATGCACTCCAATTCACAGCCATTGAGGGAAAAGTACTCTTTAGGAGTTATCGGTAAGTTCCACGATTAATTATTTTGGTTTTCAGCTTTTGTGAAGTGTAATTTGACATATCCACTATATATTCATCAATTAATTTCATGATTAAATAATGCATAATTTCACTATTATTATAATATTACTATTTGTATTGTACTATTTATGGCAAGCACTACACTTGTAGTGATCATACAACACCTGGGGAATGGGGGCAGTCAAGTTTATTCCAGGGAAAGGGAGGATATCTCCAATTCTTTGCATCAAGAGCCCTGCTCTCTGGTATCAAGGCACTCTCCTTACAGGATTAATTTTGGGTAGTGGTATTATGAATACTACCTATACTATGCCTTTCTTCTTCAAAATTCTTTTAAATGCAGGATAATGGCACGAAAGAATCCAGATCTTAAACTTGGAATTAGGAAAACCTAAAAACTTGGGATTAGGTTTTGTGCATGATTCTTATTTAGTGCACTTGGCTCATTACTGGGTTAAGCAGGAATAATTTGGGTCTGTGGAAGATTGATTTTCATGCCTTGGCTCTGTTAACCCTTTCAGGGTCCACAGGCCCTCTCAGAGACTTGTTCTCAGGGTCCCCCAAATTTCAAAAAAAAAAAATTATTTTTTCTTATGAAAAGATAGAGAATCTTTTCCCTATCATAATGACACCAAAAGTATGAAATTTGATGGAAAACTTACGGAATTATGCTCTCGCAAAGTTAGCGATCTCGACGATGTTTACGCATCAGCGATTTTGCCCCCTTTGAGCCCTATTTTCAGCCAATTTCAATGTACTAGTCAAAAAAAATCATAACCACTTTGCTAGAACTCCATTTTTTCTATCAAATGAGTACAAGAAACCACCAATTTACCAATTTCAACTATCCAATACAGTGGTCAGAATTTAGCAATTTTGCCAATTTCACACAAATTTCAAAAGATGCCAATTTCCAAATTGGGTCCAGAATAAACAAGAAAGACATTCCTGGCACTAAAATAACATTTCCTCTGTTCATTAGTCACATCCCCATGCCCCTCTTACATTCTTTTGCTTTCCATTTTGAATTTTTTTTTTTTTTTTTTTTTTTATCACACTGGCCGATTCCCACCAAGGCAGGGTGGCCCGAAAAAGAAAAACTTTCACCATCATTCACTCATCACTGTCTTGCCAGAAGGGTGCTTTACACTACAGTTTTTAAACTGCAACATTAACACCCCTCCTTCAGAGTGCAGGCACTGTACTTCCCATCTCCAGGACTCAAGTCCGGCCTGCCGGTTTCCCTGAACCCCTTCATAAATGTTACTTTGCTCACACTCCAACAGCACGTCAAGTATTAAAAACCATTTGTCTCCATTCACTCCTATCAAACACGCTCACGCATACCTGCTGGAAGTCCAAGCCCCTCGCACACAAAACCTCCTTTACCCCCTCTCTCCAACCTTTCCTAGGCCGACCCCTACCCCGCCTTCCTTCCACTACAGACTGATACACTCTTGAAGTCATTCTGTTTCGCTCCATTCTCTCTACATGTCCGAACCACCTCAACAACCCTTCCTCAGCCCTCTGGACAACAGTTTTGGTAATCCCGCACCTCCTCCTAACTTCTAAACTACGAATTCTCTGCATTATATTCACACCACACATTGCCCTCAGACATGACATCTCCACTGCCTCCAGCCTTCTCCTCGCTGCAACATTCATCACCCATGCTTCACACCCATATAAGAGCGTTGGTAAAACTATACTCTCATACATTCCCCTCTTTGCCTCCAAGGACAAAGTTCTTTGTCTCCACAGACTCCTAAGTGCACCACTCACTCTTTTTCCCTCATCAATTCTATGATTCACCTCATCTTTCATAGACCCATCCACTGACACGTCCACTCCCAAATATCTGAATACATTCACCTCCTCCATACTCTCTCCCTCCAATCTGATATTCAATCTTTCATCACCTAATCTTTTTGTTATCCTCATAACCTTACTCTTTCCTGTATTCACCTTTAATTTTCTTCTTTTGCACACCCTACCAAATTCATCCACCAATCTCTGCAACTTCTCTTCAGAATCTCCCAAGAGCACAGTGTCATCAGCAAAGAGCAGCTGTGACAACTCCCACTTTGTGTGTGATTCTATATCTTTTAACTCCATGCCTCTTTCCAAGACCCTCGCATTTACTTCTCTTACAACCCCATCTATAAATATATTAAACAACCACGGTGACATCACACATCCTTGTCTAAGGCCTACTTTTACTGGGAAATAATTTCCCTCTTTCCTACATACTCTAACTTGAGCCTCACTATCCTCGTAAAAACTCTTCACTGCTTTCAGTAACCTACCTCCTACACCATACACTTGCAACATCTGCCACATTGCCCCCCTATCCACCCTGACATACGCCTTTTCCAAATCCATAAATGCCACAAAGACCTCTTTAACCTTATCTAAATACTGTTCACTTATATGTTTCACTGTAAACACCTGGTCCACACACCCCCTACCTTTAATAAAGCCTCCTTGTTCATCTGCTATCCTATTCTCCGTCTTACTCTTAATTCTTTCAATAATAACTCTACCATACACTTTACCAGGTATACTCAGCAGACTTATCCCCCTATAATTTTTGCACACTCTTTTATCCCCTTTGCCTTTATACAAAGGAACTATGCATGCTCTCTGCCAATCCCTAGGTACCTTACCCTCTTCCATACATTTATTAAATAATTGCACCAACCACTCCAAAACTATATCCCACCTGCTTTTAACATTTCTATCTTTATCCCATCAATCCCGGCTGCCTTACCCCCTTTCATTTTACCTACTGCCTCACGAACTTCCCCCACACTCACAACTGGCTCTTCCTCACTCCTACAAGATGTTATTCCTCCTTGTCCTATACACGAAATCACAGCTTCCCTATCTTCATCAACATTTAACAATTCCTCAAAATATTCCCTCCATCTTCCCAATACCTCTAACTCTCCATTTAATAACTCTCCTCTCCTATTTTTAACTGACAAATCCATTTGTTCTCTAGGCTTTCTTAACCCTTTGAGGGTCGACAGGCCCTCTCCAAAACTCGTTCTCAGGGTCGGCCAAATTTAAAAAAAAAAAAATGATTTTCTCTTATGAAAAGATAGAGAATCTTTTCCCGATCATAAAGACACCAAAAGTTTGAAATTTGATAGAAAACTTACGGAATTATGCTCTCGCAAAGTTAGCGGTCTCGGCGATGTTTACGCATCGGCGATTTTGCCCACTTTTGAGCCCCATTTTCGGCCAATTTCACTGTACTAGTCGACAAAAAACATGAATATTTCGGTGAACTCACATTTTTTCTATCGAATGGGTGCAAGGAACACCCATTTATGAAATTAAACCCATCCAGTACAGTGGTCAGAATTTAGCAATTTGCCAATTTCACACAAATTTCAAAAGATCCAATTTCCGAACTAGGCACATGAATAAACAAAAACATTCCTGCACCTAAAATGACATTTCCTCTAGTCATTAGTCTGTCTCACCCTTCTTATATTCTTTTCTTTCACTGAATTTTATTAACACAAAATATAAGATTTACTGTTATCGAAGCTACGTTGTAAATATGGTGTAATATTATTGGTGCACTTTTGAAGAATATTACATACAGTTGACATTTATGCAGCTTGGCACGATTTGTTTTCTTTTGAATTTGGTTAAAAATCGAACATTTCTGCTACTTTGAGCCAATTTCAAGGCACTTTCATTGTAAAACCATCAAATCATTCAATTCTATAAAATGAGACCAAGAAAACTAAATACAAAAATTTAAATACCATACGAAATTTACACTGCAAAGTCGCTATTATTCCAAAAAAATGGTTAAAGTTTTTTTTTTCCCCATTATGCACATCTGGCTCATTTTTTTTAGACTGTGCACATGACCACATACGACCCATTCTTTCATATGAAGCCTACCACTTTTCACCATCAAGATTGCCGCTAGTTTCATGCGTACTACTCTAAAAACCTACGCGTAAGATCTATTGTACCCAAAACCCTCAAGGTTTCTTGTTAATCTCACTCCAAAACTTTTTCTTATTTTCAACAAAATTGTTGATAACATCTCACCACTCTCTCATTTGCTCTCTTTTTACATTGCTTCACCACTCTCTTAACCTCTCTCTTTTTCTCCATATACTCTTCCCTCCTTGCATCACTTTACTTTGTAAAAACTTCTCATATGCTAACTTTTTCTCCCTTACTACTCTCTTTACTCATCATTCCACCAATCGCTCCTCTTCCCTCCCGCACCCACTTTCCTGTAACCACAAACTTCTGCTGAACACTCTAACACTACATTTTTAAACCTACCCCATACCTCTTCGACCCCATTGCCTATGCTCTCATTAGCCCATCTATCCTCCAATAGCTGTTTATATCTTACCCTAACTGCATCCTCTTTTAGTTTATAAACCTTCACCTCTCTCTTCCCTGATGCTTCTATTCTCCTTGTATCCCATCTACCTTTTACTCTCAGTGTAGCTACAACTAGAAAGTGATCTGATATGTCTGTGGCTCTCTATAAACATGTACATCCTGAAGTCTACTCAACAGTCTTTTATCTACCAATACATAATCCAACAAACTACTGTCATTTTGCCCTACATCATATCTTGTATACTTATTTATCCTCTTTTTCTTAAAATATGTATTACCTATAACTAAAACCCCTTTCTATACAAAGTTCAATCAAAGGGCTCCCATTATCATTTACACCTGGCACCCCAAACTTACCTACCACACCCTCTCTAAAAGTTTCTCCTACTTTAGCATTCAGGTCCCTACCACAATTACTCTCTCACTTGGTTCAAAGGTCCTATACATTCACTTAACATCTCCCAAAATCTCTCTCTCTCCTCTGCATTCCTCTCTTCTCCAGGTGCATACACGCTTATTATGACCACTTCTCGCATCCAACCTTTACTTTAATCCACATTAATTCTTGAATTTACACATTCATATTCTCTTTTCTCCTTCCATAAACTGATCATTTAACATTACTGCTACCCCTTCCTTTGCTCTAACTCTCTCAGATACTCCAGATTTAATCCCATTTATTTCCCCCCCACTGAAACTCTCCTACCCCCTTCAGCTTTGTTTCGCTTAGGGCCAGGACATCCAACTTCTTTTCATTCATAACATCAGCAATCATCTGTTTCTTGTCATCCGCACTACATCCTCGCACATTTAAGCATCCCAGTTTTATAAAGTTTTTCTTCTTCTCTTTTTTAGTAAGTGTCTACAGGAGAAGGGGTTACTAGCCCATTGCTCCCGGCATTTTAGTCGCCTCATACGACAAAAAAAAATAGAAGATTTACTGTTATGCAGACTACTGCATTAGTGTAGAAATGGTATAAATAATATCGGCGCACTTGTAAAAGAATATTAGACTCACCAGTTGATGTGTATTGGATGCTTAGCATGATTTGTTTACTTTTGAACTTTGGTAAAAATTGAACTTTTCTGCTACTTTGAGCTCAATTTCAAGGTACTTTTCATTGTAAAACCAGTCAAAATCATCTCAATTTCTGTAATATGTCTTCCATTCTATACAATGAGACCAGGAAAACTAGAATACAACAATAAATACCATGCGAAAATATAGTGCAAAGTCGCTGTTTTAATTAAAAAACACGGTCAAAGTTTTTTTCTCATTATGCACTGTGTGCAGCAGGATTTTTTTTATACTGCGCACACTGACCACATAGACCCATTCTTTCATATGTAGGCCAACCAGCTATCTCTCACTAGATTTGAAGGCGCTAGAATTTATGAGCACTAGTACGTCATGGACCTTGGTGCGTAAGCCGTACTAGTACGGCTGAAACCCTGAAAGGGTTAATAACATCCTCAGCTCATACACTGAAGGAAAAGGGATCACTCCTGGCATGAGTGAAACACTGAGCATGTTTCATTGCACCTGCTGGCCCTCTCACCTAGCAGCAAGTAGGTATTTGGGTGTTAGTTGGCTGTTATGGGTCGAACTGTGGGGAAGATTAAAGGATCTTAATGGAAATAAAACCGACAGTCCCTAGTGATGCAGGTACTTTATTGATTTATCCTGGGTGGCTAACCCTCTGGGTTAAAAATCTGAGTAAAACTTTAACTGGAATTTGTATATCCTGTCTCAGAAGGATCTGTAGTTTATTAACCAGAGAAAGTGATTCATTGCTTAATCATTAACATTTGTAGGGTCTCCATATTTGGTTCCTTAAAGAGGGTTGCCTTGATGTCAGTGAAGAGCCTTTGATCCAAGAAATTGGGGCTACCCTCCCATTCCTTGGATCAGACCTAATTACATTACATTCCCCAGGCTCTGAATGACCCCTTTGGGGTCATAATAATAATTCACACAATTGATCATTATTTGACCTCTTCTACACTATAATTTTATTGATATTTTCTCATATTACTAGTAAATTCTTTAAATTTTTTATATGAAAAGAAATACTGAGCATGTTTCCTGTAGATTGTAAACCTATGTTATGTAAGAATCCGCACTACATTTTTTACAAGTTTTTTCACAGCACCGGCCATATCCCACTGAGGCAGGGTGACCTACAAAGAAAAAGTTTTTCTTTTTAAATTTAGTAATTCATGCAGGAGAAGGGAGTAACAAGATAATTATTATATTATTAAAAAAGCATTAAATCCGTGAGTCAAACAGTGCCATTTACTATAATAATTTTTTCACTTTGAAGAATACTACTTAAGAAGTCTGGTACAAGAATTCCTCGTGTAGAACTGGAAGAAATAGGGCCTTCATTGACCCTTAGCCTTCGAAGAAACAAATTTGCTTCAGAAGACTTGATGAAGAGAGCTTGTAGACAGCCTAAACAGCTTAAGGTAACTGATTATCTTATAAGTGATAGTTTATTAAAAATGTGGAATTGCTTTTATTTAATTTGGATGTAAAATTGGTGTTTTTCCATTGCATACTGAAAAGGAGAGTTACTAAGTTAAGCTAAATTTTCTTTTTAACATGCCGGCCATCACCCACCGAGGCAAGGTGACCCGAAAAAGAAATCTTTTCACCATCATTTACACTATCACTGTCTTGCCAGAGGGATGCAGATATGACAGTTTTGATGTCCCGCTAAACAGCAAATATCTCAAACCCCTCCTTTAAGAGTGCAGGCATTGTACTTTCCCACCTCCAGAACTCAAAATACATATCTTTATGTTTGTCTATTCAGAATAATGGTTTTGCAATCAAATTAAATGTTGTATTTATCAAATGCATCCATCTTGAAACCACATGTAGTAGTAATCAGATTCAGGCTGAAATTTACTATCATAAATGCTGCAGCCAAATACGTAATTTATTTTGAGGCATAGACACTTTAAGAAAGGTGCTTTCTTAAAGATGGAGATGGCCCTTCCCTTGAATACAGCTTGATTGCCTCCCATTTCCTAGGTGCTATGATCCCTACAGGCTTAGTGCTGAAGTTGCACATTCCCAATTACTGAAGAATACCTATATGCTTGATGATATTTAACCCTTTGACTGTTTTGGTCGTATATATATGTCTTACGTGCCACTGTTTCGGACGTATTAATACGCGTAAATTCTAGCGGCTTCAAATCAAGCAGGAGAAAGCTGGTAGGCCCACATATGAGAGAATGGGTCTGTGTGGTCAGTGTGCACCACATAAAAAAAAATCCTGCAGCACGCAGTGCATAATGAGAATAAAAACTGACCGTTTTCTGGATTAGAACACCGACTTTGAGGTGTATTTTCATATAGTATTTATTGTTGTATTCTCATTTTCATGGTCTCACTTGATAAAATGGAAAACATATTACAGAAATAGAGATAATTTTGATTAGTTTCATGATGAAAACGACCTTGAAATTGAGCTCAAAGTAGCGGAAATGTTAAATTTTTACTGATGTTCAGGAGTAAGCAAATCACCACACGTCCAATACACATCAGCTGGGGAGTCTAATATTCTTTCTTTAGTACACTGATATTATTTATACCATTTTTATAATAATGCATTAGTCTGCATAACAGTAAATTTTGTATTTTTTGTATGAATAAAAAATAAAAATAGAAAGCAATAGTAATATAAGAGGGGTCTAGAGACGTGATTGATGAACAGAGGATATGTTATTTTAGTGCCAAAAATGTCTACATTGTTTATTCTGGACCCTATTTTGAAATTGGCATCTTTTTTAATTTGCATGAAATTGGCCAAATTGCCAATTTCTGACCACTTTATTGGGTAGTTCAAATTGGTAAATGGGCGGTTTCTTGTACTCAGCTGATAGAAAAAAATGGAGTTCTAAAGAGGTAGCTATGAGTTTGGTCAACTGGAACAAAGGAATTGGCCAAATTATTATTATAATAAAAAAGAAGCGCTAAACTGGAATTGGCCAAAAACAGGGCTCAAAGTCGGCGAAATCGCCGATGTGTATATGTCGCCGAGACCGCTAACTTTGCGGGAGCGTAATTCCGTGAGTTTTCGGCTAAATTTCATACTTTTGGTGTCATTACCATCAGGAAAAGATTCTCTATCATTTCATAAGAAAAATATTTTTTTTTTTTTTCCAAAAATTTTGCGACATAGAATGACAGTTTGAGAAAGGGGCTTGCGACAGTCAAAGGGTTAATTAAATTAAAAGTGCCTCAGTTAAGCCACTCGTTTTGTCTGGTATTACCACACATCAACATTTCTTTGTGAAAAGTGGGCTGATAAACGTAAATTTAGAAAATACAAATGGATGAAAGTTTCAGTGCAGAAATAATGTATTGCCATAGTTTGGTTCATCTCCTCTAATGTGTTGTTGCTCTAGTATGCGTACACAAAAATTCTTTCCCTTCCCCAATAAAAACAAGTTGGTTACCAAAATGGACAGCAAGGAGCTACACCACCTAATTTTAGTTGAAAACTTATTTTCACGAGCAGACTCCATACTCCCTTTTCTCAACCTGATTATACACTATGGTTGACTGTCGTTAATATGGTAGTTAGGATAATGGCTGCGGTGTACATGGGAGGGGGTTATAATGGGGATGAGGGATTGGGGGACTGCTGATATGGGAGGTGGAAACCAAGCTGTGTAGGGGTGGGGACAGGAGCTGGAGGCTCGTGTTGCAAGATGCTGGGCAGTGAAGGGGTGAAGGCTGGAAGCAAGGAGGCAATGTGGTGACAGTGTGGGTGAGTGTATGGTTGGTGGTGTGGGCAGTATTTATTGACTAGGTGTGTGGGGCATGAAAACATAGGTAAGGTGTGGGCAGAATCTGTGAGGAGTGGTAGATGAAAGGTGTGGGTAGAGGGGATATGGACCTGATTATGTGGGGAAGTGGTATGGTTGTGTCAGTCGCTAGGTGTGGGCGCCAGTGTGGAGTTGGTGGTGTGGGCAGTAATGAGGGTGGTGGATGGCTACATGACTAGGCATGTGGATGGCATGTGGGCAGTGAAAGCATGGGTAAGGTATGGGAGTGGGGCTGTGTGGGCTTGAAGCTGTGGAGAAGTGAAGTGGGTTAAAGTGTGATTGTGTCAGTGGTGTGGATGGGTGACTAAATGATAGGTGTTTGGATAGCATGTTCAGGTGAAAGGTTGAGCAAGGTGTGGGCATGAAATCATGGAGAAGTTACGTGGGGACTGGAGAGGATGTGGTCTTGAGGTAGTGGGGGAATGTGACCCAGGGGCAGTGATGTAGGCATAGGGGTGTGGCTGTGGGGGATTGTGTGGGGGTTACCAGATATGGCAGGTAATGGGTAGAAGCAAGTGGTATGGTGGAGGCATGGGGGTTAAGGTATAGTATTGGATATGCATGAATGAGGCGAGGGACTAGCCCCATACATTCACAACAAGATAAGTAACACAACTTGTGCCACATTTTTCCCTACATATACTCAGCCATGTAAACTGATTAATACAGTGTGTTCACTAAATAGAAGTACAGTGGAACCTCAAATATTGAACTTTCTTCATTCCAGACTGCTGTTCGAGTGCCGTTACCGAACGAATTTATCCCCATCAGGAATAATGTAAATGAGATTAGTTCATTTCAGACCCTCAAAAATACACTTATAAAAGCACTTACAAAAATACACTTACATAATTGGTTGAGTTGGGAGCAGTTCGATATTTGAGGTTCCACTGTATGTTCAAATTTTGCTACCACTTTACGATGAAAATGTGTTAAACATACGATGTGTTAACTGGTTGCAAGGGTTGAGTCAAATCTCCTGTAGTTTATAAATCATGTATAGACACTCAAATTTTTTTTTCTTTTTTTGTCAAATTTGAATGTTTTTCTCCCAAATTCTTTATCTTAAGAAGCATACTTTTTTTTGAAAGTGAGATGTTAAAAGTGAAAGGATCCAGTAATAGCGAGTAATGATAAATTACAAAAGGGTTTAGAAAATAAGTCATATGGGATATAAATTTAGTTTTCTAATAATATTTTTTTTTTTCCAGCCTAAGAAGGTGAAGAACATAAACAGAGATGTATTTGGTACGAAACTTGGCCGAGTGCACATGACCAAGCAGGACCTAGGTAAACTACAAACACGGAAAATGAAGGGACTCAAGAAAGAAACCAATGATAAAAAGGAAAATTCAGAATCTTCAAACCAAGAAGCTTCTGCATCTGGCCCAGTGGATGTTGACCAGTAACTCATCTGGAGTGAAATTATAATGTGCATTTCTTAAAACATAACTTGTCCATAAGATGCTTTATTTACACATGTTTTGTTTATTTCTTTAAGCATTATTGTAATGAAGTACAAAGAAATCATATTGAAAAAGAATGTCTTTAACCCTTAAATGGTCCAAACGTATATATACGTTTTTTCAACATCTGAAAGTATGTAAAAAAATGTAATCTTTTTTGTTTTACATTTGAAAACGTGTAAAAAAAACTTTTTATCTACATTTTTTTTTGTTACATTTGAAAATGTTAAAAAAAGTAGATCTACTTTTGTAGCACTACGAATTTGAACGTCGATTTGTTTGGACCGTTTAAGGGTTAAATTTCTTTTAGACTCCATGTACTGAATTACTACTAAATTTTTTTAATTAAAAGTTTCTCAGTTAATCCTCTAGTTTTATTTTTGGTATTCCTGCACCATACATTAAACTCAGTGTGTCATTTTGTCATAGGTGAGCTAATAAAAGTTCAGAAAATAACAAGTGAAAGTTTCAATGCAAAAACAATGTATTACTCTCGTTTTCAAATTTTTCTAGCTGCTTGACATCCCGCATATTTTTCAAAATTTATATTTTATTATAATAAAAAAGAAGCGCTAAGCCACAAGGGCTATACAGCGCTGCAGGGCAGGAAGGAAGCGAGGGCATCAGGTGGCAAAAGGGAGATGGATGAGTAATAGGTTACGGAGAACAGCGGGGCAGTGGATGGTGAAAGGGTAAAGGGCAGCAAGAGACTGAGCTAGAAAGGGCTGAGGGGAGTGCGTAAGGTATCACCATCAGAGTTTGTGGAGTAAATCAGTCGTTATCAAGAAGTCAATGAGAGAGTCAGGATTAAAGGAGGGTCCATCAGCAAGAAGGGAAGGTAAAGAGAGAGTAGTAGAACGAAGACGACGTTGGAGGTAAATTCTGCGTGCTCGTTGATCAAGAGGGCAGGCAGTCTAACAGAATGTGGCTAATCGATACTGGAACTTGACACTGCTCACAGAGAGGAACAGGGTGCCTCTCCATGAGATACTCATGAGTAAGACGAGTGTGGCCAATGCGAAGGCGAGAGAGAGTGGTCTCCCAACCTCGGCACTGATGACAAGAAGACAGCCAGTAACCTATGTTCAGTTTAATAGAATGAAGTTTGTTACCAAGTAGAGTTGACCAATGTTGTTGCCAACGGGTGTGAAGGTGGGTAGCTATTGCAGCAAAATAGTCCAGAAATGGAACACCTCTATAGGAAATTGGTAGGTCATGTACTGCTGACTGCGCAGCAGTGTCTGCCTGTTCATTGCCCTGTACGTCGACATGACCAGGGACCCAACAAAAAACAATATCTTTATGCTTGGTAGAGATACGGCGTAGCCAAAGTTGGATACGGAGAACTAGGGGGTGAGATGTATCAAATTTTCGTATAGCCTGTAGAGCACTAAGGGAGTCTGAGACTACCACAAATGATGACACAGGCATAGATGCGATACGAATAAGTGCTGCAAGAATGGCATACAATTCAGCAGCAAAAATGCTAGCCGAAGATAGTAAATGCCCCCGCATGACGCTGTCCGGAAACACTGCTGCGAATCCGACGCCGTCTGAAGACTTAGAGCCATCTGTGTACACAGCGATGGCATGAGAATGAGTGTGGAAGTGATCAAGAAAAAGAGCGGGAAGCCACCGTAGGCAGTTGGCCTTTTGAGCAAGGGAGTGAGAAAGAACAGACCCGAACAGCTGGAACTTCCCAGGGGGGTAGGGAAAAAGTGAGATGCTACATGAACATATAAAGGTGGTAACTGAAGGGAAGACGAGCGAATGTAGGCGAAGAGAAAAGGGACGGAGCAAACAGGGGCGGCGAACAAATAAAGAATGTCTACTAATATCAGTGACCATTCTATAAATGGAAGGATTGTGGAGATCGTGAGAGTGTACATAGTAGCAAAGGTAATGGGCATCACGGCGATCAGACAAGGATGGAACATTCGCTTCTGCATAGAGGCTCTCAACAGGGGAAGAGCGAAAAGCACCAAGGCATAAACGTAATCCTTGGTGATGGATGGGGTTAGGGCTAGAGAGAGTAGCAGGAGAGGCCGCTGAATAAATCTGGTCACCATAATCGAGTTTCGATAAAACGAGGGCTGAATGTAGGCGAACCAGAGTTCAACGATCAGCTCCCCAGGAAAGATGAGCAAGGGTTTTAAGAAGGTTTAGCCGGCTGTGACAAGTTCCCTTCAGAGAGGTAATGTGAGGTTTCCAGGATAACCTACGGTCAAAGAGAAGGCCTAGAAACCTAACTGTATCACGTTCGGGGATACGGGAGCCATAGAGATACAAAGGATGATGGAGATGACAGAGCGTCTAGTGAAAGTAATTTGGCGAGTTTTGGTACTGGAAAATTTAAACCCATGCGTGGTGGCCCAAGTGGAAACACAGTCGAACCGCATTGCTGGAGAGAAACTGCAATGAGATGACAGTCAGGCGCCTGCACAAGCAATAGCAAAGTCATCAACATAGAGTGATGACCAAATATTGGGTGGAAGAACAGAGGCCAAATCATTTATAGCAAGGAGAAAAAGTGTTGTGCTCAGAACACATCCCTGAGGGACACCTTCAGCTTGGACGAAGTCCGGGGAAAGCACATTATTGACTCGAACACGGAAGTGTCTGTCAGTTAAAAAGTTCTTAAGGAAGGATGGTAGATTGCCTCGGAGGCCTAAGGAGTGGGCTTGGGCCAAAATATTATACCTCCAAGTTGTGTCATATGCCTTCTCAAGGTCAAAAAATATGGCAATAACTGAGTGATTATTCGCAAAGGCATTACGAACATACGTATCCAAGCGTAGAAGGGGTCTATGGTAGAACGGCCCTTACGAAAGCCATATTGACTAGCGGAGAGACTGTTGTGTGTCTCTAAATACCACATTAAACGTCGATTTACCAGACGTTCCATCACTTTGCAAACTGCACTAGTAAGAGCGATGGGACGATAGTGGGAGGCATCATGTCCTGAAGTACCCGGCTTGCGGAAAGGGAGAACAATGGCAGATTTCCACAGCTAGGGAAGAACTCCTTGTGCCCAAATAAGATTGAAGAGGTGTAAGAGGACTACAAGGGCTGACTGATGTAAATGTTGTAACATACGAATATGAATGTCGTCAGGCCCAGCTGCCGATGATCGGCAAGCTGAGAGTGTTGCCTCCAGTTCCTGAGGCATAAAAGGCACATTATACTGTTCTTCTCTGAGAGAAGAAAAGTCCAAGGGTACTAACACTGGCAGATTTTGAGGAAAGAAACGAGGGGCATAGATGGAGCCCCCGGGAAATACGGACCAGATGAGTGCCAATTTCAATGGCAACGTCAAGAAGGTTTGCTACATCAATACCGGCGACCCGTAGAACAGGAGCCGGGTCAGGAGAGTATTTACCACTCAATTTCCTCACTTTTTTCCAGACTGCACTCATAGAGGAAGCAGAGGTGATGGTGGAAACATAGTCTCGCCAGCAAGTGCGTTTAGCATCACGGATGACATGGCGAGCGATCGCACGCTTCTGCTTAAAATCAAGAAGTCTCTCATTGGTTCTATTGTATCAGTACCTGCCCCATGCAGCACATTTCAAATGTACTGCATGAGCACAAGCAGGAGACCACCAAGGCACGCACTTCTGAGAATGCCTGCCTGAGGTTTGGGGTATAGAATGAGAAGCTGCGGTATAAACTGACGTTGAGAAGAGGTGTAGGAGCTCATCAATGGAGGATGAAGAAGGAACATCACTAAAAGCAGTGAGTTGCGAGTAAAGGTCCCAATTTGCCCGATCAAATTGCCAGCAAGGGCTACGGAAAGGTGGAGAATATGAAGAAGTAAGAATGATTGGAAAATGATTGCTGTCATGTAAGTCCGGTAGAACAGACCAGGTGAAGTCTAGTGCAGTGGAGGAATAGCAGACTGATAGATCGATGCAAGATAGAGTATGAGTACGAGGATCAAAATGGGTGGGAGTACCCATATTTAAAACATGGAGGGGGTGAGAGGAGAGAAAAGCCTCCAACTGGATGCCACGTGAGTCACAATGAGACCCCCCAGAGGAAATGGTGGGCATTAAAATCACCAAGTAACAGAAGTGGTGGTGGTAAGGATGAAACTAGAAAGGCAAAATCTGGGATAGAAAATGCTCGAGAAGGAGAGAGATATAAAGAACATATTGTAAACCACTTATTCAAGTGGATACGGGCTGCAGTGCAATGCAGCGAGGTATGGACAAATAGTTGACAGTATGGAATATCATTGCGTAGAAGGGCACTTTCATTAAAGGTCCCATCTGAGAAAGGATCCGAAGAATACAATAAATTATAGCCTGAGATAGGTTGGAAAACAGCCGAGTGTAATTTTGGTTCTTGTAAGCAAGCACCAACAGGGGAAAACCTGGAAAGCAACATCTGAAGCTCACCCCAATTACCCCTGAGGCCGCGGATATTCCACTGTAAATAGGCCATGATTGGCAATGAAGAAAATACCAGGAATCCATAGGGAAGGGCACCTACGGACTAGAGGGGTTAGAAAAGTCAACGTGTGGTGGCATTGGAAAACGTTCAAGCAGCGAAGGAACGGAGCGTTGCGAAGAATGGAGTTGTGAAGATGGAGGAGAGGGAAGAGAAGGAACAGGAGGTGAATCAGTGTCCATTGAAGGTTTAGTCTCTGCAATATATTCTGAAATGGCTTCAAGTGTTTCTGAATTCAAAGATGTATGGGAGACCATATTGGAGGTAGGAGGAGGAGGATGAGTAAAGATTGGGACAGTAATGGACTGTACCAAAGTAGAGGGGGACGAAAGAGTGTAGGGGACTGGAGATGAAGTGTGGGGGGGAGACAGAAGAGGCAGAAACCTGGGAGGTGGCAGAAGAGGGAGAAACTTGGGAGGGGACGGGGGTGGAAGGCATAGTATGAAGAGGAGGGTGAACCTCCACACTTGTAATAGAGCCAGAGAGAGGGGAAGAACTGGGCACAGAGACTGGAAAGGTAAAGTATGGAGGTGGAAGAAGGGAAGGAAGGGGTAAAGAAGGTTTGAGCAATGTGGATATTTTGGACTTCTGAGAAGTAGAGGGGCGATTGATATAAGGTGTCGTACGAGGTCTTGTCGATACTGGGGCTTGTGAGGAAGGACGTGGAAGAGAGAACAGACTGAGTTGTAGTCGGGACATCAGAGCCAAGGACAGCAAAAGGATTAGATGCCGGAGTGGCTATGGGAGGGGTAGCAACAGAGGAGGCTGCAGAAGATGGGACCCCAGAAGCGGGGGAAATGTTTTGAAACACGAGAATCAGAAACATGGGGTAGTCTTCCTTGGAGGCGGAGATGAGTAACTGCCATAGCATAAGGGAGACCTTTTGCCTCTTTGAGGCAACGGATTTCATGCTCATTTAGGTAGACCTGGCAACGGCGGGAGTACGAAGGGTGAGCTTCATTACAATTAAGGCAAGATGGAGGTTGACTGCAAGATGTATTAGAATGGTCATCGGCACCACAGACTGGGCATTTGGCTATAGATCTGCAATATTTCGCTGGGTGACCAAAACGGCAGCAATTTCTACACTGTTGCAGTGTAGGGATCACCTTTCGAACTTGTAACCTATGTCCCACGACATAAACAGAGGACGGGGGTTCTCGGCTGTCGAAAGTTAATCAAGCCACATTGCAAGGGTAACGTCTCCGCCCATGGGCAGGAAGGACATAAGTGTCGACTTTGAGGATTGGGAGATCCTGGAGTTTCAGCTGTTCGAGAATGTCATTGCCACATGACTGGAAATTCTGTTGGACTATGGTATGGGGCAGAATGACAGTACCACTACAAGAATTGAGAGAAAGATGTTTTTCAATAGTGATAGGAGTAGTATCGATATGTGAAAGGAGAGAAAGATCATGAGCTTGGGTAGCATTCTGGACAGTGACGATGTGCGTACCGCTTTTGAGAGCATGAAATGAAATATCTCTACCAACATGACGCAGGAGCGCTTTGCCAATACTATGGTCAGAAAGATAGGCAGAAGAAGTTGGTCTTAAAGTAAAGAATTTAGTCCATTGTGTGGTCCGAAACTGAGCGTGGAGAGGGAGTGCATGACGTGTCGGTCTTTTCCGAGTAGAATGGGAAGGTAACGAAGGAACATCATCAGGAGATTGACGTTGGCATTTAGGAGTAGGACCGGAGTTGGTCCGTCGTGAAACGGGCTGGCGATTTGAAAATTGCCGTATCATAGAGGGAGAGGCCGGAAGCATAGTCAAAGGAGAGCGGAGGTCAGACAAATCGAAGGAGTCAGTCGAAGCCCCGGTACCTGAAGCGGGTGAGGAAACAGCACCAGCAAGAGGTACAGGGGTATCAGGAGTGTCCGAAGAGTGGTCTAAAAACAAGGCAGGGTCAGAATGGGGTGCGGTATCAAGAAGGGGCCCGGGGGTAGTGGGTTCATGGATTGGGTTCTCCATGGTTAGGTTACTCCTTTCCTTTTTGTTTTTAAGAAAAAAAAGAAAGAAGAAAATAAAATAAAAATAAAAAAAGAATAAAAAAAGGGGGGAGCAGGGAGGAATAGTTCCCAGGAGGAATGAAAGGGCCGGAAATCTCCCTCCGCGCCCAAGAGGACCTCAGCACCGCTAGTAGCGCAGATGCAGCATGGAACCCATGCCATACCCTACCCTTCATGCCAGTAAACCAGCAATCCGGGATAGCAATCTCACATCTGCCGAGCTACCTCGGTGGACAAAAGAGAGGGCGGCCGGATATCCGCCACAAAGCATACCTCCTTCAGCCACCACCCCCGGAATCCAAAGGTGGCTTCCAGAGATACACCTGTCGCCCGAAAGACACCCAAAGCTACACTCAGGGATACTGGAGAGGGATCAGGACATCCCCAGGTGATCCAGATTCCACGGCAAACTACGCCACCGCCAAGAACCTCAATGGAATAGGATGGACCCCGGTATCCTTTCCCCTACCTAGGAACTAGCGTGCCTGTGGGAGAAATCCCAAAGGCCAAAAAGAGGAAGGGCAAAAGGGAGGGGTGGGGAGGAGGAGGAGGAAAGGAAAAAGGGGAGGATGGGATAGGGAAGGGAGGATTGGGGAGTAATTAGGTTCTGTCTGAGGAAGGAGACCGACAGGTCCAATTCCTCGGACCAAGAGCCTCTTCACCACAACAAGGAGCCCCCCTTGAAGAGGTCAAAATTTGTAGAGGAAGGTTGAAATAAAAAATTTACCATACAAATTTATTGTAGTTACCCATGTGAAGAATATGACAACTCTGTCAGATATTTACCTTCACAATATTTCTGGCGGAATTACCATTTCAAAACATTAAGGCATAACACTAATCCCTAATAAACATCAAGACCAGATGAAATAAGCATCATTATTAAAAGTTAAATAAATATTCACTGTCAAACCCCTAACAATTACAATGTTAAAACCATAAAAATACTTGAATCAAACTTGATGGACTGACACCACACTTTTTTTCGTTTAGATTAAGATTTACTCTGTTTCCATTGTTTCCAACTGTTTAATAGCATCTCTACTCTGCTCTAATTCTGCTTCCAAGTCTAACCTCTTTATAGTATTCTTAGCACGCACATCTTCTGGCACCTGTAAATAAACAATGTAGTGATTTAAGTTAATTTGTGACATAGTCAGAAAAGTGAGCAGCATGAGCATTACAAAAAAGTCAACATGGGATGTATATTAAAGGGTTAAATAAATGCAGATGTTAAACACTTGTCTAACAAATTTAAAGTAGCTGGACTATTATTTTTCTTGAATGAGATATTTCTTTATTTGGTGTGCATAGTTGCACCGAGTCCTACACAATAAGCAAGCATTACAGCATTTGCGATACAGCATTTATTAGTCACAATACCAGCAGGCTGGTAATTCTAGTACAATAACCTGGATTCTAGTGTTGTTTAAAAACACTTTTTTTATACCTGCCTCCTTTACTTCAGCAATTTCTCATAAGTGTAAAGACACTATTAAAACAATAAAATACCTACCTTATCATAGTTTGATTTTGCCATCTCACATTGAAGAGTTTGCAGCCTATCTTCTGCATCCTCTATCTTCTTCTGGATTTTTTCTCGACAATTGCTCAAGTTAACTAGACCCTGGGGAATAACAGTGAAATATTACAAGAGCATTGTGGGCGAGGGGCTTGGACTTCCAGCAGGCGTGCATGAGCTTGCTCGATAGGAGTGAATGGAGACGAATGGTATTTGGGACCTGACGATCTGTTGGAGTGTGAGCAGGGTAATATATTAACTCCACACCTTCTCCTAATTTCCACACTCCGAATTTTCTGCATAATATTTACACCACACATTGCCCTTAAACAGGACATCTCCACTGCCTCTAACCATCTCCTCGCTGCTGCATTTACCACCCAAGCTTCACACCCATATAAAAGTGTTGGTACTACTATACTTTCATACATTCCCTTCTTTGCCTCCATAGATAACGTACGTACGTGTGTGTGTGTGTGTGTGTGTGTGTGTGTGTGTGTGTGTGTGAGTGTGTGTGTGTGTGTGTGTGTGTGTGTGTGTGTGTGTGTGTGTGTGTGTGTGTGTGTGTGTGTGTGTGTGTGTGTGTGTGTGTGTGTGTGTGTTTTATATATATATATATATATATATATATATATATATATATATATATATATATATATATATACACATATATATATGTTGGAGTGGTTGGTACTTTTGTTTAATAAATGTATGAAAGAGGTGAAGGTACCTAGGGATTGGCGGAGAGCATGTATAGTCCCTTTATATAAAGGGAAAGGGGACAAAAGAGATTGTAAAAATTATAGAGGAATAAGTTTACTGAGTATACCAGGAAAAGTATACGGTAGGGTTATAACTGAAAGAATTAGAGGTAAGACAGAATGTAGAATTGCAGATGAGCAAGGAGGCTTCAGAGTGGGTAGGGGATGTGTAGATCAAGTGTTTACTTTGAAGCATATATGTGAACAGTATTTAGATAAAGGTAGGGAAGTTTTTATTGCATTTATGGATTTAGAAAAGGCATATGATAGAGTGGATAGAGGAGCAATGTGGCAGATGTTGCAAGTTTATGGAATAGGTGGTAAGTTACTAAATGCTGTAAAGAGCTTTTATGAGGATAGTGAGGCTCAGGTTAGGGTGTGTAGAAGAGAGGGAGAATACTTCCCGGTAAAAGTAGGTCTTAGACAGGGATGTGTAATGTCACCATGGTTGTTTAATATATTTATAGATGGGGTTGTAAAGAAGTAAATGCTAGGGTGTTCGGGAGAGGGGTGGATTAAATTATGGGAATCAATTTCAAAATGGGGAAATTTACACAGTTACTTTTTGCTGATGATACTGTGCTTATGGGAGATTCTAAAGAAAAATTGCAAAGGTTAGTGGATGAGTTTGAGAATGTGTGTAAAAGTAGAAAGTTGAAAGTGAACATAGAAAAGAGTAAGGTGATGAGGGTATCAAATGATTTAGATAAAGAAAAATTGGATATCAAATTGGGGAGGAGGAGTATGGAAGAAGTGAATGTTTTCAGATACTTGGGAGTTGACGTGTCGGCGGATGGATTTATGAAGGATGAGGTTAATCATAGAATTGATGAGGGAAAAAAGGTGAGTGGTGCGTTGAGGTATATGTGGAGTCAAAAAACGTTATCTATGGAGGCAAAGAAGGGAATGTATGAAAGTATATTAGTACCAACACTCTTATATGGATGTGAAGCTTGGGTGGTAAATGCAGCAGCGAGGAGATGGTTGGAGGCAGTGGAGATGTCCTGTCTAGGGCAATGTGTGGTGTAAATATTATGCAGAAAATTCGGAGTGTGGAAATTAGGAGAAGGTGTGGAGTTAATAAAAGCATTAGTCAGGGGCAGAAGAGGGGTTGTTGAGGTGGTTTGGTCATTTAGAGAGAATGGATCAAAATTAGAATGACATGGAAAGCATATAAATCTATAGGGAAGGAAAGAGGGGTAGGGGTCGTCCTCGAAAGGGTTGGAAAGGGGGGTAAAGGAGGTTTTGGTGGGCGAGGGGCTTGGACTTCCAGCAAGCTGTGCATGAGCGTGTTAGATAGGATGAATGGGACAAATGATACTTGGGACCTGACGATCTGTTGGAGTGTGAGCAGGGTAATATTTTAGTGAAGGGATTCAGGGAAACCGGTTATTTTCATATAGATGGACTTGAGTCCTGGAAATGGAAGTACAATGCCTGCACTTTAAAGGAGTGGTTTGGGATATTGGCAGTTTGGACTGATATGTTGTGTATCTTTATACGTATATGCTTCTAAACTGTTGTATTCTGAGCACCTCTGCAAAAGTAGTGATAATGTGTGAGTGTGGTGAAAAGTGTTGAATGATGATGAATGTATTTTCTTTTTGGGGATTTTCTTTCTTTTTTGGGTACCCTGCCTCAGTGGGAGACGACCGACTTGTTGAAAAAAAAAAAAAAAAATATATATATATAATATAGGTAGTAGGTTGGTAGACAGCAACCATCCAGGGAGGTACTACCGTCCTGCCAAGTGAATGTAAAACAAAAGCCTGTAATTGTTTTTCATGATGGTAGGATTTCTGGTGTCTTTTGTCTGTCTCATAAATATGCAAGATTAAGGTATGTCTTGCTACTTCTACTTACACTTAGGTCACACTACACATACATGTACACGTTTATTTATACACACTCATCTGAGTTTTCTTTGATTTTATCTTAATAGTTCTTGGTCTTATTACTTTTCCTTTTATATCCATGGGGAAGTGGAATAAGAATTTTCCTCCGTAGCCATGCGTTGTTGTAAAAGTCAACTAAAATGCGGGAACAATGGGGTAGTAACCCCTTTTCCTGTAAAGATTACTAAAAAGAATAAGAAGAAGAAAATTGTTTTCTTTCTTTTTTGGGTCACCCTGCCTCGGTGGGAGACGGCCGACTGTTAAAAAAAAAAAAAAAAAAAAATATATATATTTTAAATATATATATTATAGGTAGTAGGTTGGTAGACAGCAACCGCCCAGGGAGGTACTACCGTCCTGCCAAGTGAATGTAAAACGAAAGCCTGTAATTGTTTTACATGATGGTAGGATTGCTGGTGTCCATTTTTCTGTCTCATAAATATCAAGGTTTCAGGTACGTCTTGCTACTTCTACTTACACTTAGGTCACACTACACATACATGTACAAGCATATATATATACACACATCCCTCTGGGTTTTCTTCTATTTTCTTTCTAGTTCTTATTCTTGTTTATTTCCTCTTATCTCCATGGGGAAGTGGAATAGAATTCTCCCTCCGTAAGCCATGCGTGTCGTAAGAGGCGACTAAAATGCCGGGAGCAAGGGGCTAGTAACCCCTTCTCCTGTATATATTACTAAATTTAAAAGGAGAAACTTCAGTTTTTTCTTTTGGGCCACCCCACCTCAGTGGGATACGGCTGGTACGTTCAAAGAAGAAAGAATATATATATATATCATTTGGAGAGAATGGATCAAAGTAGAATGACATGGAAAGCATATAAATCTATAGGGGAAGGAAGGCGGGGTAGGGGTCATCCTCGAAAGGGTTGGAGAGAGGGGGTAAAGGAGGTTTTGTGGGCAAGGGGCTTGGACTTCCAGCAAGCGTGTGTGAGCGTGTTAGATAGGAGTGAATGGAGACGAATGGTACTTGGGACCTGACGATCTGTTGGAGTGTGAGCAGGGTAATATTTAGTGAAGGGATTCAGGGAAACCGGTTATTTTCATATAGTCGGACTTGAGTCCTGGAAATGGGAAGTACAATGCCTGCACTTTAAAGGAGGGGTTTGGGATATTGGCAGTTTGAAGGGATATGTTGTGTATCTTTATACGTATATGCTTCTAAACTGTTGTGTTCTGAGCACCTCTGCAAAAACAGTGATAATGTGTGAGTGTGGTGAAAGTGTTGAATGATGATGAAAGTATTTTCTTTCTGGGGATTTTCTTTCTTTTTTGGGTCACCCTGCCTCGGCGGGAGACGGCCGACTTGTTGAAAAAAAAAAAAAAAAAAAGAGTAAAATGACTAATTTTGCGCTCACACTAACTTTTAACTATACCCCCCTACTGAATACACTCCTTTCTAACAAAGCACCTTATGACCCTCCTACAGGTATAGTTTTTTTTTTTTTAAATACTGTATAATTTATCCCTTTCCCAATATAAAAGGAGAAAAATTAGCAAGAAAAATAATTATACTGAAGTGTCTAAAAAATCAGAGGAATTGATTTCATCCATATAATTTTTATGAAAGCTTGCAATCATTCATTAAACCATGTTTTTCAGAATTTTTTACCTGCAGTTTCATCCAGGCTACAGTCTCAGCATTAATAAGGGTAGGGACAGATCCTTTTGGCTTTTCTGTTGATACCCTGACATTTGATGCGGCTGACAATGTGGTAATATCCTGTATGAGAGATTCCAGAGTGGCTCTATTTTCATGATTCTCTGATTGAAGGGTTACTGAAAATTGAAAAGTAAACACTTTAAAATGCATTTTCCTTTTTACATACATTATTAAAAGTAAATAACTACTGAAAAACTGATCTTGAAAGAGTAAATTATTTTTTTAAAGAATGTCATATTACACTTTTATAAAGTAATACAGTTGCCGCTTATAGTGTGAAGCCAATGTATGGATAAACAATAATGAAACAGGAAGTACATATAATGAGGCAGAAGGGATTTAAACAAACAGGACAAGAGTGAGGAAAAAATATTCAATTATTAATGTTATGAAGAATAAAAGGAGGCCACCAGGTGGCATTGCATTGTCAATAATGCTTAACAATAACCATCAATAGAGGAGGTAATTAGATTTTATCCAAAGAAAGCAAAGGTAGTGATAATTCCTTGAATCAAGAGCCATTCACCAGCATTGGAGCACCACCCATTGAAGGGTACAAACAGTTAAAATATTTTTATGTAAAATGTCTAGAGGCCAACTTACGTTCAATTTTAGTTTTGTGAGGTATGTCATATTTTGCCTTGGCCGACCTCACCTCACTGATGACTTTCTGTCCAAATCTGAACTTCTCATCAACATCTTTATCAAGGAACATTTCATACTGAAAAGAAACAAATTCATATATCTTTTAATTTCTTTAAAAAAACATGAAGGAAGATTACTTGGACAATATTTAACATCAAGAAGCTTGATGAGAGTGCAAAAAAAAAGTGCATCTGTCCTCGAATTTTAAGGTTAGCAGTTTACATTTGGCTTGGTGCTTTTGAATATTATTTGATATCACATTTGATGAAAGGCGACCCTTCAACAGTATAGATACTAAAAAAAAAAAGTGCAGTGTACCTCCTCAGGTTCTGGATATGGTGTGACACATATTGATGGTGGCTGATTTGCAGTGCGTGATGGGAGACGCTGGAACAGTTCTTCAGACAGATATGGCATGAAGGGAGAAATTAGTGCCAAACCCACATACACAGCTGTGTAGAGAACATTGCAGCTTAGCTCCTTTGCTTCTTCATTTTCTGAATACATGACAGGTTTTAGGCATTCCTGAAACATTAAAATGTGTTAACTAATACAGATACATGAGGACAAAAATTAGTAGCACACACTAACTACTTCAAATCTTGCACTCTTAATCTATACACAATGTATTGTATACATTTATATCAATGATGTCTCATTCCAAAACGAAATAATTCCAACCTTTCACACCTGGGTACTGCAGATACAGTATTATCAAGTATTAAGAAAACCCATTAAAAAACACAAATCATTTAATTCTATTTCTGGTTTGGATATTGCAAATGTGATAGTCAACACTCACTGAAAGATGTAAGTAAAATAACAGTAAGTGGGAAGTAATAGGACTGCCTCAATAAGAAATGAGAAAGAAGGAAGAAAAGCCAAGAAGTTAACCCTTTCAGGGTCGGTCCCCTGGCTTTGAAGCCAGGGTTGGTCCTGTAGTTCTACGCCATGAACTCAGCTCACTCAGATAAGCCGTGAGAGGTAAATTTGGGCCTAGAGACGAGAGAATGGGTCTATGCAGTAGGTGTGCACCATATAAAAAACCCACAGCAAGCAGTGTATAGTGGGAAAAAATGCAGTTGTGATTTTGGCTTAAAACAGTGAATTTGCAGTGTATTTTGTTTGATTTTTATGGTTGTATTCTCAGTTTCTTGGTCTCAATTGATAGAATGGAAGATATCTTACAGAAATTGAGATGATTTTGATTGGTTTCAGGAGTGAAAGTATCTTGAAATTGAGCTCAAAGTAGCAGAAATGTTTGATTTTTGCTGATAATCCAGAGTACAAATATGACATCAATCATCTAATACACGTCCAACTGGCCAGTCTAATATGCATTTAGGAGTGCACCGATATTATTTATACAATTATTTAAATAATGCAGTATTCTGCATAACAGTAAATCTTCTATTTTTTATGTGAATAAAAATTCAAAATGGAAAGCAAGTGTAATATAAGAGAGGCCTGGGGACATAACTAATGAACAGAGGAAATTTTTTTAGTGCCAGGAATGTATACATTTTTATTCTGGACCCTATTTTTAAATTAGCAATTTTTAAATTTTGTATGAAATTGGCCCAATTACACCTACCATCCGACTTACGACCTGCTCGACTTACGACCGTGTTTTTTATGCAAAATTTTTGGGAAATAAACAACTATTTGTGTTGTACACAGTGTTTATCCTAAACCTTACAGTATAAAATACAGTACTAACAGCATAAAAAGTAAAGTAAAACCTGAAATACCAAAATAAAACAATAAAATAAAGTCATTACAAAAATGTTTTGTTGATATTCAGTAGTAAAGTTCGACTTACGACCATTTCGACTTACGACCGGTTTCTCAGAACCGAACTCGGTCGTAAGTCGGATGGTAGGTGTACTTATTTATGATCACTTTATTTGGTAGTTGAAATAGGTAAACGGGCAGTTTCTTGTACATGTATTCAGTTGATAAAATAGAAGGAATATTAGTGAAATAGCTATGAGTTTAGGCGACTGGAACAGTGGAATTGGTCAAAATATAGGGCTCAAAGCGAGCAAAATCACTGATGCAAAAATCTTGCCGAGACCAATAAGTTTTCCATCAAATTTTGTACTTTTGGTTTCATTGCATTTGGAAAAATATTCTCTATCATTTCATGAGAAAAATATATATTCTTTTTAATTTCTTCGACCCTGAGAGCAAGTCTGAGATAAGGAGTCTGAACCCTGAAAGGGCTAAAGACAAAAATTTTTGGGAGAACATTACAGTATTTACTGGAACATTATAGTCTCACTGACACTACAGTGTCAGTGATACTATGGACAAAAGCCATAAACAGAGGAAAGGGGGACACTCCTTTTTTACTTTACCCACTTTCACTTCCATAAAATTGCAAGATACACCTGAAAAATATCTTAAGAATTCAATATAATAACCCTGCAAACTCTCTTGTCCAGTCTGATGTTCATTTTCTATTTGAAACAATAACTGTCACCCATGTATGGCATAGCCAACATTAACCTTTTAACTAAAATTAAAACTGGCCAAAAGGGTACAAATATAATTTATACATATATTAAATTGTTTACTCACCAGGTACACATCACATATCTGGTACCACCAAAGATTGTACAGAGCTGTGGTGGCTCTTGGAAAGTTGAATTCTTCAAAGGCAATGTTGCACTCTTTCACAGCATATGCTAGTTGACTCAGCATCCATCTGTCCACCATACTCAGAGCCTCTCTCTGTCATCAAAACAACGGTTTTCAGAAATACACCACTAAATATGGAATTTTGCCGATTAAATGTTTACAAACTAGTTTGCAATAAGTCTGCATTTCAATATAACAATCAATAACCAATTCATGGATTTCAAGTCATCATTAGGTTATCCACACTAACAATGTATAAACAATATCACTTTGAAATACTGTTAATTTAGGTAAAAAATTATGTACAATGACACTAGTAGGGCAAGTGGAGAGCAGAAGCAACTGTTTGATTATGGTGTCATTTCATTCATCAAACAGTGCTGAACAAATAAAAAGAAACTGAATGTGACTCATAACTTATGAATGCTATTATTTAAGTGGAAACTAAGGACATGCATATACATTTTTTCCCTCTGAATACTATTAAACTTACGATGACTACCTTTCCAGATAATGTACAGTACAGACACTCCCTCATACTGATGACATCTTTAGTTGCTACCTTTGGTACTACACCACTTTGTTGAGGGAGTGCTGCGGCCTTCCATTGTATTTTAGCATGGCACATGACCTAAATTGAAAATCAATCATAGGTCTTTGTTCATACTGTACTCACAGGATTTGCCACATAAAAATCTCTCTTTTTTGTAGGGATATTCTTACATCAAACTTAATGAAGCTAGGGCAAAATTTAAAGAGATATGACTGAGTAGTCAAACCACCTTATTCAAGATGCACAATAAATAAGGACCTTATTCAAGAACTTTCTATCCCATCTTCAGGGGCTAGTAACCCTTTCTCCTGTATACATTACTAGAGTTAAAAAGAGAAACATTTGTTTTTCTTTTTTTGCCACCCTGCTTGGGTGGGATACAGCCAGTTTGTTGAAAGAAGAAGAAAAAGAAGCAAAACTTTATGAAAGTATCTTCTTTTACAGGTCACCCTGCCTTGATGGGACACAGCCGTTGTGTTAAAATGAAAAAATATATGATAAACAGTATCTATGGAGGCAAAGAAGGGAATGCATGAAAGTATAGTAGTACCAACACTCTTATATGGGTGTGAAGCTTGGGTTGTGAATGCAGCAGTGAGGAGGCGGTTGAAGACAGTGGAGATGTCCTGTCTGAGGGCAATGTGTGGTGTAAATATTATGCAGAAAATTCGGAGTGTGGAAATTAGGAGAAGGTGTGGAGTTAATAAAAGTATTAGTCAGAGGGCTGAAGAGAGTTTGTTGAGGTGGTTTGGTCATTTAGAGAGAATGGATCAAAGTAGAATGACATGGAGAGTGTATAAATCTGTAGGGGAAGGAAGGCAGGGTAGGGGTCGTCCTCGTAAAGGTTGGAGGGAGGGGGTAAAGGAGGTGTTGTGAGCGAGGGGTTTGGACTTCCAGCAAGTGTGCATGAGCGTGTTAGATAGGAGTGAATGGAGACAAATGGTATTTGGGACCTGACGAGCTGTTGGAGTGTTAGCAGGATAATATTTAGTGAAGGGATTCAGGGAAACCGGTTATTTTATATAACCGGACTTGAGTCCTGGAAATGGGAAGTACAATGCCTGCACTCTAAAGGAGGGGTTTGGGATATTGGCAGTTTGGAGGGATATACTGTGTACTTTTATACATACATATATACTTCTAAACTGTTGTATTCTGGGCACCTCTGCAAAAACAGTGATTATGTGTGAGTGAGGTGAAAGTGTTGAATGATAACGAAAGTATTTTCTTTTTGGGGATTTTCTTTCTTTTTGGGTCACCCTGCCTTGGTGGGAGTTGGCCAATTTGTTGAAAAAAAAAAAAAAAGTTTTTCTAACACATCCTCATCCATATATCTAAAGGTTATTTTAAAGTTTACCAGTAGGATATTGGTAACTTTTATGTGCTTGACACTAATCATAAATTCAATAAGAATGTAATTATTAGTTTTTGAGTTTTAGCTGAAATACTGAACATTAAATGCGTGTTACTAAATCTAGGTGCATCCCTTTTAATTTTCCAGACTTCTTCTCCATACAAAATAAATATCTTTCTTTCAACAAACTGGCTGTATCCCATCAACGTAGGGTGGCCCATGAAGAAAACCAAAAGTAAAATACATATGCAAATAAAAAATATTATCATGATCATTTTCAATTATTGCTACAATTTTAACCCTGTCAGCAGCCATCATGTAGAACTACATCAGTGAGGTCAGAGTCCCTCCTATATTTCTATGTCATGATCTCAGCTCACTCAGATAAGCTGTGAGTGGTAAATTTTGACCTAGATATAAATGAGTGTGCATGATAGGAAAAGCAAAACTCTGCTCGTGTGTAAGGTTTAAAAGGAGAATTTGAGGTGTTTTCACAGATGGTTTTTATGGCTTTATTGGCTGTATCTTGGTATCATCTGATACTGAAACAGAGATGATTTTGGTTGGTTTCAGGACCAAAAGTAACTTGAAATTGAGCAATTTGCAGAAAATTTTCAATTTTTGCCAAATTTTCCAGCGAATGAGTAAGGTCCCCTTACACCCCCAGTCTGTTTGATGGACTTTAAATAAGTCTGATTCAATTACTGGGACACCATAAATCACGACCAATCATTCCTGGCTATATTTTATTACATGAAAAATAGAGTAAATCTCATATTTCTGTGTGATTAGGAATTCAAAATGGAAGGCAAGTATAATATAGGAGAGGCCTGGGGATGTGATTAGTGAACAGAGGAAATGTTGTTTTAATGCTAGGAATATCTACATTGTTTAGTTTGGACTCTATTTTTAAATTAGCATTTTTTAATTTTGTGTAAAACTAGCCAAATTACCAACTTCTGTGCACTTTATAGGGTAGTTTAAATAATTGAATGTGCAGTTTCTTATGCTCAAGCAATAGAATGGAAGGCATACCAATGAAATAGCTAAGAATTTAGTCAAATGGGCACATAATTAGCTTAAAACAGGACTCAAAGTGGGCAAAATCGCCGAAATGTGCCGAGACTGCTACCTTTACTCCTGCGTAATTCCATAAGTTTTCCACCAAATTTCATACTTTTGGTGTTATCTTCAGAAAAACATTATCATTTTAGGAGAAAAAATAATTTTTCTTTCTTAAAAAGTGGACACTGAGAGTAATATTAATTTTGGGGGTCTGGACAGTGAATGGGTTAACATAAAAACATACTTTCTCCAAAAACAGATATTTCTATACAAAATCTCTATCAATTTAAAACGCTCAACGCAGCAAACACAAGAAAGACAAGCAAGCAATTAAGTGCAGCAAATAAAATGTCATACCTTACCTCCTTGGGCTTAGAGGTGGGAGTTAAAGGGCCATTATTACTAGCCTCTGGGAATGTATCTCTCTCTGCCTGTGAGTAGCTGGCCATGTGGCAGTACCACCGCAAAAGATGGGGATATGGTGAAAGTGATGACCCAACGTTTAACATTTGCACAAGGGAAACATCAGCTTGTGTGGGCGTAAAACCATCTACATAGCTAAAGTGTTTTAAGGTTTCATTCAGCTCAGACAGACTGCCCCAATGATAGTTATTGTTTCTAATATGGTTGGTAAGTGAGGAGAACGGTGTGTTGGTCTGAACCATGACCTTCTCTTGTGCCGTTTTTACCTAGTGAGTAATGCTGGTCAGTTTTATAGTCTGATCTACAATAAAGATGTAAATCACAATAATTAAAAAAGAAAAAAAATTGTTACAGTTGCAACAGCATCATTTGAAGTTTTTATTAACAGTGATATTAAATGCTTACATTGAAAGTTTCAAGAGCATTATACAGCAATTATCACAATGTAACAATCATTACATTATAGCATCTACCCAATACTGCTCTTTTTGGGATGAAACAAGTTTCAGAATTAGAATTTAAGTAAAGTATCAAACTGCATATCAAATCTGAAAACTTAATAAATTAAGTCTAACCCTAAAAACACTAACCATTTTGTGTAATTCCTTAAGTGATTCATACGGTTTGAAACTTGTGCCAATATTCATCATGGCAAATTTTGTAGCATTCCACAGTTTGTTACAAAAGTTCCTGTACCCATTAACACGCAACACATCAAGGTTAATGTCCCGTCCTGCAAGATAAAATCACTTTTATTATTCTTGCAGATATTGTACTTATTTTTGTTTTATAAAAAAGCCAAGTTTGGCCATTCTGAATTAGTGTAAAATACTAGAGATGGTTTGATCAGACAATGAAAATCAAGGGAGGTATCCTCAGTCTATCACAAAATATTTCACAATAATCCCACACAATACTTAATTATATAGAAATAGCAAAGTTCTTACAAATCTGACATATATCGATGATTCTGGAATTATAAACAGATATATAACAGATATGCTGTATATACCGTATATACCTGTAACTATTCTGGGAGTTTTTCTACATTTGCAGCCTAGCCTGTGACTACAATGATCTGTTCACTGCATAATTAAGCAGGTTACTGACATACTGACTGAGACTAATTTGTAAATTTCAAAACATAAAAAGAATACAAGGTAAACTATCATATAATGGATGAGCGACTTTGAGAGGAAAATGCAAACAATGAAAAGAGAAAAAGAAAAGTCCTCTCGGTGTAATGTCATTTGTGGGGTGCCACAAGGCTCTGTGTTTGTCCCTACAATGTTCATAATTTACTTACCAGAAGGAATAAAAACTTTATCTTTTTATTAACTCAACAGCCGTCTTCCGTCAAGGCAGGGTGACCCACAGAAAACACATCTGCCATCATTCATGCAACTGTTGTCTTACCAAAAATGAGCTGACATCACAATTCATATTACCCTCTAATTGCAGCACCCTCACCATTCCTTCCAACCTCTAGGACTCAAGCATGGATATCCAGTTTCCTTGAATTCCTTCATAAAAATTACCTTGCTCGTACTTCATCAGCATGTCCTTTAAAAAATCACTTGTTACCATTACTCCTATCCAACATGCTCACACAAGCTTGATGGATGCTCTCACCCCTAAAATTCAAGCCTCCTTTACTTCCTTCCTCCAACCATTCATGGGATGACCCCTACATCTTCTACCTTCCACCCGATTTATTTATACACCCTCTTCATCATCCTATCCTCCAAACCACCTTAAAAACCCCTTCTCAGCCCTCTAAATTATACCCATGGTAATCCCATATTGCCTCTCTGTTTCTATGCTGTGAATTCTCTACATGATATGTACACCACATATTTCTCTCAAACTAAGAATTATTATTAATAAAACCTGTCATGAGATCATGGAAGAAAAATTATGGGAAATGCATATGCTATACTGGATAGTTATAGAAATACTTTTTTTTTCTTTTTACACAAATCAATTTTACAGGCTAAGAGCTGTTATCCTACCTCAGCTCATTTCAAAGCCCAGCCTTATCTAAGGTATACCACTTCCCTGGGATGCAACCAACAGCAGTAAACTAACACCCAGGTACCTATTTAGTCCTAGGTGAACAGGGACAGCAGGTGTAAGGAAACATGCCCAATGTTTCCACCCATGCCAGGGATCAAACCACAGACACTTAACATGTGAGCTGAGTGCACTACCAACAAAGTAACAGGACAAATAGTACATGGATGGAGAAATGTAGAAAAAGCTGTTAGGGACATACATTAGGCCAAAAGTGGAATATGAAACTGGTGTGTGGTGTCCACAGCTTAAAAAGCACGTGGATCAGACAGAAAAATCAAAATTAGAGCTTTGTAGATGAATGGTTCAGAGAACCAACATGTTGATAAATTAGACACATGTGCAACTCTTGGGTATCTTTATTGAGGAAACGTTTCACCACACTGTGTGGCGAAACGTTTCCTCAATAAAGATACCCAAGAGTTGCACATGTGTCTAATTTATCAACATGTCGGTTCTCTGAACCATTCATCTACAAACCTGTCAGACACTGCAACTTCTTAGGATCTTAATACTTATGAATTCTTCGCTTGCCTAATTCTTGGGCACGACCTACTTCCACATTGATCAAATGTGACACCACCTAAGACTGCTGCACCTCTCCTGCCATACGGTTTATAAGCTGCTTCTCCGCTCATATGCCGCATTCTATTCAAGATTGATGGACTGAACACATCGACTCAAGGTTGAGGGACTGATTACCTCATTCTCCTCCTTTTCTTCAAGTTTCTCCTACGTATGGACTGATGAAGCCACTGTGTGGCGAAACGTTTCCTCAATAAAGATACCCAAGAGTTGCACATGTGTCTAATTTATCAAAATTAGAGCTATAACATGGATCCCAGAGCTTAAAAAATGTGAGTTGTTATGAAAGGCTGAAAACATTAAATGCCCTCCTACCGCCAAGACCAAATCCACTAGATAATTACCTTGTGAAGTATAGGCACACAGTGCAAATCGCAGGGCATCAGTGCCACATTCAGGAATACCTTGAGGGTAATCACTTTTCTGACCTTCTTTTGCTTTTGCAATTTCATTGGGATCCAGATTACTGTTGTCATCCAGCTGTTTGTTAAGCTCCTGAAGAAAAAGGTTCAAATGTTCATTTGGAAACACAGCAACCAATTAAAGACTAAAAATATATTTATTACGATAAGTCTTAGATTAGTAGGACTATGAGCACTCGAATAATTTTTTATCCATTTTTTAAACTCATTAGTTTTACTAAGAAAAGATGGCCCAAGCACATTCAGAATATTTCTTATTAACTAGCTTTACAAACTGGTAGACTTTATCTTATGCTGCCTGACACCAGTATGAAGCCTTTACACTATCTAACTCACAATGATAAAGGTCATTTGAATAGTGATGTCTGTTTACCTCTGGCAAGACAGATACTGAAGAGAGCTGATGAATGTTACTTCATCTCTGTATCACCCTACCTTGGTGAGAAACAGCAGATGTGGTAAAAAAAAAAAAAAGGGGAGGGCAGGTACATTTAGTACTTTAAGGGAGCCTGAGGAGGAATAGTGTGTGCTACCTTGAAGCCAGCATTTATTACTGGTTAGATTCCTTCAGTTCAACCCAGATCTATACACCCTCTTGGTCAACATATCTAGATCCAACCTTGATCCAACCTTTTTAAATGACCAATCTCAACAACCTCTCCTAAGCTCTCTGAGCTATGCTTTCATAAACACCCCACTGTCATCTACTTTGCTTCTTATTTTCTTCATAATATTCTAACATAACAATATTCATATCAAATATGACATCTGCAATAGGAAAGTCTAAAAGGACTTCTTCAAAAATGATAAGGAAATAGGAATATTTAAAGGAACCCTGTAATAGGAATGCTTAGAAGGGACACTGTAAGAAAGAGGAAAATAATACACGCACATAAACAATACTTGTTAATAAAGTATGTCGCATGTAGGCATCTGGCAAATTTTAATGTCAGAAGTAATACCTGACCCTGTTAGATGCTTCAGTGTCAGCCTGGCAACTCGTAGCAGGACATCACAGGATTCTCCAAGACTACAGGCTGAATCCTAAGTTCCTTCTAGGCGTGTGTGGTGGACAGATTTGTGTCTATAGTCTCCCTGCACCACGTGGTCTTAAATGCCAGTTTGTCAGCCATTTTTGGCTTTAGACAAATTGATATGAGCAAGAGTAAGTAGCTGACACAACAGACAACTGCATAGGTCACTGGATTACATAAGGCAGACCATCAAATAAAGGAAATAGTAGAAGCCATTGACACGTGTGAGCATTCAGTGAGGACCTGGTTGCATTGGTTCCATGAGGGAGGTAAGTGATGAACATTTTTTTTTTTTTTTTTTTTTTCAAAAAGTCGGCCTCTTCTCACGAGGCAGGTACCCAAAATTAAAAAGAAAGAAAATCCCCAAAAACGAAAATATTTCATCCTTAACACTTTCACACATGGCACATATTCTGTTTTCGAGAGGAAATCACAACTGCTCATTGAGAACTCAGAATATAAAATTATACCAACATATTTCCCAAACTGCCAATATCCCAAACCCTCCTTTAAGTGCAGGCATTGTATTTCCCATTTCCAGGACTCAAGTCGACTATATGAAAATAACGGTTTCCTGAATCCTTCACTAAATATTACCTGCTCACACTCAAAGAGGTCAGGTCCCAAGTACATTCTACTCCATTCAACTCATCTTACACGCTACACTGTTAGTCCATGGGGAAGCCTAGAAAAACATCCCTACTAATGTTAACTGTAGTAACATATCTAAAAATCCTCTGTGGTGCAAAGACTTTTCTGCAAGACAGTGCTCATTACCACACCGCAAAATCAGTTGCTCAGGGTTACGTGACTGTGAGATATCCTTTTCTGCGACAAGTAGTCAGGAAACTCCCCAGACTTGAACTCCATTGAGAACCTCTGGTTAGTGATAGAGAAATTCATAGGAGGACGACATTTGCCCATTCCCACAGCTGGGGGTCACTATCCATGAGTCACTGGAGAATTTGCCCCTCAAAACCCTTAAGTATGTGTGTGAATCACTTCCTAGACAGTTGAACAATATCCTAAAATGCAAGTGATGACCTATTTTGTGGTTGTGGTTTAAGAGGGGGCTGGTATTCTTTAGTGACAAGCACTGCAAAATGGAGTTGGGATGCTGAGACTTGGTAGATCAACAATGGATGGTAGAGTCTTTTAAAAATTCTACAATTTCTGACATATACTGAATGCACTATACTAAAAAGTAAATTTTTGGTAATTTTAAAAACAGCCAAATACTCTATATAAAACAACATAGTCTATTTCAAATATAGAATACTGTATATACCTGCAGGGTGATCCCATGTATGACATCCATCGGGTCAATCACATTACCAAGGGATTTGCTCATCTTTCGACCATGTGCATCTCGAACCATGGCATGAAGATACACCTGCCTGGTGGAATGACTCAAAATTAGCACTAAGCACCATTAATAGCTAGCACATTTAACAAATTAAACTATTAATTTTAATGCAAGATGTAGTAACACTAATCTCAGCAAAATATACAATATACAGTGCTATAAATTTTAACTGTTAACTTACTTAAACCTATGCATATCATAAGAGGTGACTAAAATGCCAGGAGCACAGGGCTAGTAAATCCTTTTCCTGTATAAATTACTAAATGTAAAAAGAAGAAAAGCTTTTGTTTCTTCTTTTTCAAGTCATCCTGCCTCAGTGGGAGACAGCTTCAAAGGTATTCAAAGGTAAAGGTAAGGTAAAGCTGGCGTGTTAAAAAAATAAATATTTGAACTAGTCTCTCATTAGCATAAGCTTATTAACATTGTGAGCACATATTCAGAACTTTCATGAAATAAACCATAGTTAACAACAGCTTACTACAATAGGCATATGTTCAATAAAGTAATAACTTTAGCTATACTTACTTGAAAGGCAACTTTCCTAAAAGTTTCTGCCCAAAGAAAACCATTCGAGCAACCCAGAAGAACAAAATATCATGACCAGTCTCCAGAAGAGTATTAGGGTAAAACAGTTCCAGATCTTTAGTCTGAAAAATTGAAAGAAAACATTGTAGAAATTTTACCACACTACTCTGGTGAGAAATGTCTGATTAAAAATTTCACATTGAAATTTTTTCCATATGACTTGCTCACCAAATACTGTCAATCCCTTTTTAGTCTTATTTTTAACACCTTTGTACGTTTTCTGCCCTTTTCCTATTTTGCAGTTCTACTTACCTAGGAGGAGGAAGAGGAGGAGGAGAAGGGAGAGGGAAAAGAAGGGACAAGGAGAAAAAAGTAGGGAGGAAGAAAAGTAGGGAGGATAAAAAAAAGGCTGGGAGAAAAGGGAGGGATGAGGAAGAAAGGGAGAGAAAAAAGAAGAAAAGCAGAGAAGGAGGGAGGACGAGGAGGAAAGAATGCAAGAGGAAGAAGAGGGAGGTGGAATAGGAGGGATGGGTTATAAGAAGGAAAAGTAGAGAGGAGGGAGTGAAAAAGAGTAGGAAGACTAAGGGTAAGGAAGAGTAGGAAGAGGAAAGAAAAGGGAGAAGACAAAAAATATAATGGAGAAAAAGAAAAAGATCAAAGAAAAAAGTAAAAAAAAAAAAAAAAATGGATGAGGAGAAATAAATAAAGAAAAGAATAAACAAAAGAAGGAAGAAAAATTAATTAGGAAGAATGAAAAACTACATGAGCAAAGATCAAGTGAGGCTAAGGAAAGGTAAAAATGGTAACAATTCCAAAACCCAAGAAGTCATCAGGACTTTTCCATTCACATTTTAATCCTTCAAAGATGATTCATAGAAAAAAAATTAAAATATACAGAATTTTAATGCTGATTTTCCCCAACCCAAAGTGCTACTACCATAATAACATTCTACTACAGAAATAATGAATCTCAAAGGGTTTTGTGTGTCTTTCAAAGTTTTTTAACCAAGATAGGTCCAGTGCACTGCCACCAGGATTGTTAAAAAACATACAGTGTAGAACAAAAAATGCAGAACATGACTTGATAAAAGCTTTATACAGTGAAACACTGCCCCAACACAAGTTTGTTCTACAATGTGTCTTTTACTCTTTTATTTACTTAAATCAAAACTCTAATAACACACTGGAAATTTAATGATGATGCAAACTCTACAGATTACATAAAAGTAGAAGGTACACCTTACAAATATCTTATTCTGACAAATAAAAGATTCACTTATTACCAACTAATCTACGATAAGCCTAAAAGAAGCACTTAAGACATAGCGTTATGTTCACTTTTTTCCACTAACCTGTTTTGGCCAACCCATGACAGAAAATGGAAAAAGGCCAGAACTGAACCAAGTGTCCAGAACATCTGGGTCCTGCTCTAACTTGATCTTATCTGGTGAAACATCGAATTTTGCTGCTGCCTTGTGTCGTGCTTCCTCTTCTGTTCGACCACTTACCCAGTATTCATCACCCTAAGTATGGGCAAAAGAGGCATGTCAGTATCTTTTAAATTTAATTAGAACAGTACCTCAAATCCAAAGAACATTTTAAATTTTAATAAATACATGGCAGTTTTAGTACTGAATATATAGACTGTACACAAAAATTTGATACTGAATATGTTTAAGGTAACATTATGTTTTAGCAATTATATATACAGTACTTATGAAACATAGACAAATATATTTATTGAAATGAAGCTATTTTTGGATACTAGCCCAAAACAGTGGTAGACCCAGACAAGATATAGCCCAAGGTTTTAAAATAATGTGCAAGAGCTCAGCTACCTGCTCTGGAATTTTTTGGGAAATTTAATTACAAGAAGGTTAACTGGCAAGAAAAAAGAAAATACACAAATAGCCTGCACACAAGAAAAAGAAACTTATGACGACATTTTGGTCTGATTCGGACCATTAATTGGTCCAAGTTGGAGTAAAACATTGGCTTAAGTTTTTTCTTCTATGTGCGGTTATATGAGTACTGTTCCAGTCAGTGTATTGTGCCTTTTTGTTCTTTACAAAAAAAGTCCTTAATGTGCTATATATTTGTCTATACGTGGTTGTCGAGGTCAAGTCTTAGCTCCTGGCCTCGTCTCTTAACTTACCATTTACCAGATTCACTTTTTTGTAGCCTCATGCACCCTATCATACCTATTCTTAATACTAGACACTGAATCTGCCTCCACCACTTCATCGATGTCATTCCACTTCCAAACCACCCTGAGACTGAAGAAATACTTCCTGACAGCCTTGTAACTCATCTCTGTCTTTAACTTCCAGCTGTGCCTAAGAGTACCTTTTTCCCGCCTCTCAAACAGCCTACCCGTCTGCCCTATCACTGCCTTTGAGTATTTTATATATTGTTATCATGTCTCCCATGGTTCTCTGGTCTTTCAATTTCTTTAGCCTCTCCTCACAGCTGTGTTTTAAACAGTTTAGTTACTGAAATTACCACTGTATTTCTTGTAGACCAAACCTATGAAAAATATTAATAAAAATAAAATCTTACTCAAAGAAAAGCATGCAACCAAGTTAATAATACAAAAAATAATACAACTAACCTGTCCAGGTGGAAAAGATTGATCAGTAACTGTCACAAAGTATGCAGGAATCTGATGCCCCCACCAAAGTTGCCGGGATATGCACCAGTCACGCATTTCCTCCATCCAATGGTACCAAGTTTTTTCATGTATCTTTGGAATGATTTCTAGTTCACCTGATCTGACTGCTTCAACAGCCTTAGCTGCCATATCTGAACATTTAACATACCTGAAAAATGCACCATAAATTTTGGGCAACTGAAGTAAATACACTAAATTATCTGATACAAAATTACAAATTCTATATAAGGTCAGTCAAAATAATAATTTTATTTGTTAACAGTTTTCAATATTACAGTGTTTTATTTTAATTTTAATTTTTTTTAACACATCAGTCATTTCCCACCAAGGCAGGGTGACCAAAAAAAGAAGAAACACTTTCATCATCACTCACTCTATCACTGTCTTGTCAGAGGCATGCTTACACAATAGACCCCTGGCTGTCTTCAAGAAGGCTTTGGGCAAGCACCTAAAGTCAGTGCCTGATCATCCGGACTGTGGTTCGTACATCGCTTTATGTGCGGCCAACAGTAACAGCCTGGTTGATCAGGCCCCAAAGCCCTCTCCAGGTATACACCACAGTTAAAAGAAAAAAAAAGCAATATATCAATACCCCTTCTTCAGAGCAAAGGCACTGTACTTCCCACCTCCCTGAATCCCTTTATAAATGTTTGCTCACACTCTAACAACACGTCAAGTCATAAAAACCACTCACTCCTATCTAACACACTCATGAACGCTTACTGGAAGTCCAAGCCCCTTGCACACAAAACCTCCTCTACCCCCTCACTCCAGCCTTTCCTAGGATGACCCCTACCCTACCTTCCTTCCTCTACAGATTTATATGCCCTTCAAGTCATTCTACCTCATTCCATCCTCTCTAAATGTCCGAACCACCTCAGCAGCCTCTCCTCTGCCCTCTGGATAATACTTTTAGAAACCCCACACTGCCCTCTAATCTCATAGTTACAGATTCTCTGCATTATATTCACACCACACATTGCCCTCAGACACGACATGTCCACTGCCTCCAGCCTTCCTCTTGTTGCTACATTCACCACCCATGCTTCATATTAAATAATAATAAATAAATAAATAATAATAATAATATAGTAATTCTTTCTCTCTTCCCATCTCTTAATAGCCATTTGCATTCAGTAAACAGCATACAACACATTTATATACATTCAGGTTACTGAATTATAGATCAAGGCTTACCACTGTGGCTTAATCATGGGTTCAATGATGTCTTTGGATCGGGAGCAAATTGGGACTATCATAGGGTTGTCCTTTGTTTCTACATATAAGCCCTTCTCCATTAGTGCTTGTAACACAGCCTTACGTGCATCAAAGCGTTTCATCCCCTAAAGAGAATGAGGTAAAATTATTTAATGCCAATCTTTGAGTAAATCTAACCAATAATAATCAGCATTTAAATGTTTATTGAAATTCCAAGATAAATGATGACCAGTAGTGTAAAAATCCACTCTACTGAAGGAATTCACTTTATTTAGAAAATAATTTTTAAATATATTTTTATAAACAGAAATAAACAAAAAAATAGCTATATCAAAACTTTAAATGTTGCTACTCACTGTAAACTGTCCATATCCCTCCACAATATACCCATCATCTGTGAAAATCGTAAGGAAGGGAAGATCATGCCTCTTGCCCACTTCATAATCATTAGGATCATGAGCTGGGGTAATCTTGACAGCACCTGTACCAAATTCCATCTCAACAAAATCATCCTGTAGTATTGGCAGCTTACGGGCAGTGAAAGGATGAATGAGTGTCTTGCCATGCAGGTGCTTGTATCTAGTAAAAGTTAATCAGGTGTATTTAACTTTACATTAAAATGATACTTATCTCTTAATTAATCAAAAGACTCAGTTTCAGCTCTCTACTGCTTCAGGGATGGACACAAAGTCACACAGTTAATCAGTACAATTATAAAATACATAGATGATTATAGCATAAAAGTACATCTGTATACTATATGCTGAATAAAAGCATAACTCCTACAAGTGTTAAACAGACACATAATGTGGTGAAATCTTTTTGGCACAATGTTGCTCATGAGTGGGGTTTTATCAAGTGCTTAGAACAATGATATGTTACAGCTTTCATAGAGTATCTGGGGTGAGTGGTCAGGTGTAGCTTTAAAAAGTTAGACTGAACAAATAAAGAGCATGACCAACCACCCTGGATGCCTTATACAAGGTTCTATGTACTTCATACAACTCACTGCATTAAATGTCTTTCTACTATAACAGAACATACTGTATAACAGGGCATAAAGTAATAGGAATAAAGTACTATATGAAAACTATGAAAATGGAAGAACTGCTGAAAAAGAGTCAAAGCCATGAGAGAAATAAGACAACTACACAGAAAAACCATTAAGAAAGATCTATAAAAAGATGACAGACAAAAGAATTAAATAATTCTGAACACTGCTTACCATACTAGGGAAAAGGAACTTCCCAATACTTAAATATGCCAAAAAAGTAAAGAAAAAAATCATTCTAGTTGAGAACTGATACTACTGCAAATGGAAGAGAACCTGTAGGACTGCAATTTGACCTACCTCTCATCTTCAGGGTGGACTGCAACAGCTGTATCACCTAACATGGTTTCAATTCGTGTTGTGGCAACAACTATACGTTCATCTGAATTCTCTACCTGGTATGCAAAGGAAACAAGTACTCCAAATTCTATTTTGTTCTTGTATCCTGGGACTGGCAGTTCTGTACATCCTGGGAGCTCTCTCTTCTCAACCTGTGAACATTATGTTGAAATGTGAAAATATTCACCATAAAAAGAAAAGACTGAAAGAATATTACATATGAAAGTCTTCCAGAAATATATAAAAATTTATACAATGTACCAATGGCATTTTTCTAAATCACTGAAATAAAACAAGATGAATGTTAATATTATGAATGCAGCATAAAATATTTCAATTAATTAAGATTGAAACACATGTATAGTGTATATAGTACAATTAGATCACACTTATCAGCTCTGAGAATAGTTCATGTGGCATTTTGTCATTATCTACTATGATATGCTGCTTAAGATGGGCTATACCTCACTATCTTTCCATTAAGCACAAACCATAAGTCCTATTTATAATGAGTATTTATAAAATGATACAAACAATAAGTGTCAGGGGCCTGAGACTGTTCAACTGCCTCCCAGCACACATAAGGGGGATTACCAATAAACCCTTGGCAGTCTTCAAGCTGGCACTGGACAAGCACCTAAAGTTGGTACCTGACCAGCCGGGCTGTGGCTCGTACGTTGGATTGCGTGCAGCCAGCAGTAACAGCCTGGTTGATCAGGCTCTGATACACCAGGAGGCCTGGTCACAGAACGGGCCGCGGGGGCGTTGACCCCCGGAACTCTCTCAGGTAAACTCCAGGTAAGGTACTTTTGGTCATGATCTGTTGGAGATTAGTATTACATAGCTTAAGACACTGTCCATAAATAATTTACCCACTAATTTTTTAAAGGGGCCTTCACAGTGCTTCCATAGTTTAAGGCTAAGAATAATTGCCAAGTATATCATTAATATGGAAGTGGAAAAGAATTCTTCCTCTGTAAGCTATGTGTATCTAAAGAGGTGACTAAAATGCCAAGAGTAAGTGGCTAGTAACCCTTTCTCCTGTACAAATTAACTAAATTTAAAAAGGAAAACCTTTTGTTTTTCTTTTAAGGTCACTCTGCCTCGGCGGGATACAGCTAGTTCATTGAAAAAAATCATTAATGCATTTCAACAAAGCTAAAATGAAGTACAGTGGAACCTTGGTATACGACCAGCTCCCTACTTAAACAAATCTCAGCACTCAACCAAACAAATACGACCTGCCAGAACTTCGCTGTAAACTATTTCGTGCATGTGTGAGCGTGTTAGACAGGAATAAATGGAGACGAATGGTTTTTGGGACTTAATGAGCTGCTGGAGTGTGAGCAGGGTAATATTTAGTGAAAGGATTTAGGGAAACCGGTTATTATAGATTTAGCCAGACTTGAGTCCTGGGAAGTACAATGCCTGCACTTTAAAGGAGGGGTCTGGGATATTGACAGTTTGGAGGGAATTCTAAACTGTTGCATATGAGCGCCTCTACAAAGACAGTGATTATGTATGAGTGAGGTGAAAGTGTTTAATGATGATGAAAGTATTTTCTTTTGGGGGATTTTCTTTCTTTCTGGGTCACCCTGCCTCAGTAGGAGACGGCCGACTTGCTGAAAAAAAAAATCTAAATTCTGCAACAGTGACATTCACCAATACCTCAATGTCAGAGATTGCAGATTTCAGCGTACAAGACCAGTTGACAAGGCGGTTAGATCTATAAATAGTTCCATCTTCATGTAGTCTTACAAATGCCTCCTTCACTGCTTCCTGTGGTCCAGGATCCATCGTAAAAGTAACACGATCCCAGTCAAGTGATGATCCCATCTTTTCTAATTGATGATAGATGCGATCACCCTTCCTGTATCAAACAAGAGAGACTAGTTTTCATAAATTAAAAAAAAAAAAATCCTGAGGACCTAATACATCCTAAGCTAACTGTGATGAACAATGATAAAAATGGAGATACTTTTTTTTTTAACACACTGGCCATATTCCACTGAGGCAGAGGGACCTGGAAAAAGAAACACTTTCAACATCATTTGCACTATTATTTTCTTGCCAGAGGCACACAGATATGACTATTTAGATGTCCCTCCTAACAGCAAATATCCTAACCCCCTCCTTAAGAGTGCAGGCATTGTACTTCCCACCTCCAGGACTCAAGTCCAGCTAACTGGTTTTCCTTAATCCCTTCACAAAATATTACCTTGCTCACACTCCAACAACTCATCAGGTCCCAAAACCCATTTATTTCCAGTCACTCCTATCTAAAACACTCACAAATACCTGCTGTATGTTCACAATATTCCACTCATCATAAATGTGGTGGCTCCTAAGTCAATATTTAGGATACAATAAAAAATACAGAAGCAGCAGACACAAGGAATGTTACTTACAATGGGACTTAAATGAAACCTCTGAGCAAGAACAACACAAAATGCAGCATACAAATTTTTAAAAGAATGAGGATGAGATAATGATGTGGTAAATTATGCAAAAAAAAAAAAAAAAAAAAAAGTAAATCCTTAAGATAAAGAGAGTTAGGAAGATAATGGTGGATGAACAGAATCCAAAATCCTGTGATTGTTTTGTTAAGATAAGAATGTTGCAGGAACAAAATCTTAAGTCACTGGAGCATGGTATTTAGGTACTGTACGTCTTGTCTCTGGCAAGACAGTGATAGTGTAAATGATTGTGAAAGTGTTTCTTTCCCAGGTCACCCTGCCTTGGTGAGATACAGCCAGCATGTTTAAAAAAAAAATTGGCTTTGAGAATAGACATAAGAAAATAAGAATATACTACCAATCTCAATTTAACAATTTAATACAAATACAATACATTCTTTGGATAAGAAGAATATTTTATAAGGAATGTCCTTACTCATTCTTCCACTGCCACACACGTTTGGTGAATTCCTCTCGGCCCAAATCGTGGCGGGACTTCCCCTCTTCGCGTTTTACCTTTTTTTCTACTGCAACTTGAGTAGCAATACCTGCATGATCACACCCAGGAACCCAGAGTGTTGTGTGACCTTTCATTCTGTGCCTGTTAAGAAAACACATTTATAGATTCTGAATCTAATTGAATGTTGCATCACTACTGTACATAAGAACAATTTTTAAATCCTAATACTGGATAAGCTTAGACCTTCAAACTAGTCACAATCATATATATAAATGAGATTATTCATAACAAATTATTTTTATGGTAAACCATAACACCTTTATTGGTTATATGGTTTACCACATCATTTACCATTTCATTTATTATTCATACAGCTGGTGTTCTAATGTAAGAAGCCCAACCTTCATGATATTCAACTGTACTGTACTAAACTGCCATTTGCAAATTTTTTACTACTGTATTTCCTGTCCTTTATTCTTTCATAAAAAAAGACAAAAATTACTAAACCTAACGAGCTTATTCTCCTTCACAAATGTTACTCTGCTCACACTCCAACAGCATATCAAATCTAAAAACCACTTGCCTCTACTCACTCTGTGTAACACACACAAGCTTGTTGGATGTCCAAGCCCCCACTACTCGAAACCTCTTTTGCCCCCTCCCTCCAACCGTCCCTAGGATGACCCCTACTCCTCCTTCCTTCCACTCCACATTTATACACCTTCCTAGCTGCACTGTTAATTAAAAAAATTCCTCCTTCAGTTTCTTTTCCTGATCACAAAAGATATTTTTGCATGCTGTTTATATCCTCTTTATTCATTCCTGTCTTCCATTTGTACACTTCACTCATATCTCCCTAATTCAGAGCCCATAGTTCATCCTCCTAAGAAATATTTCTGATACACGAGATCAACTTCAACAGCCTTCTCTGTATATTTTCCAGTGTATTTATGTCCACATGACTCACGAAATCGTAATGACACGATTGCAAACAAACTCTCTGACCGCGGGATCAAATCCCGCCCGTGGTATGGTTTATTTATGTCTATTCTGTAATATGGAGACCAAAACTGTACAGTATAAACTAAAAGGTCTTACTGATATTGTCAATAAGAGATTGTATTAAATTGCATTTGCATTTTTTTTTAATAGAATTTTCTTCTAAGAGCGCACAACATGTGATTATGGCAAACTTGCAAAGACATTCCAAGGAGTATTCTTATTGTAACATGTGATTATAACTGCTTACCAAGAGATAAATTAGAACACCATCATCAGTAATTTATAACAAAATACAGTGACATGGGGGTCAACAGAAAAGTGTCTGCACCACTACAGTAGTACATACCATCGACAGACAGCATCCTCGACTGAATTTGTTAGTGCATGGCCAAGATGAAGACTTCCTGTGACATTTGGGGGAGGTATTACCATGATAAAGTTTCCCTTAGGATTAGGGACATCCAGACTTCTCTGAAGAGAAAAATAATAAGATACATAAAATTACTGTCTAAACAATACAATTCTGTACTATATTTGCAAAAGTCATTTATTCCCCTGTTTCCAAGAACATGTATGAACAACACTATATGTATATGTATTTTATTAATTTCCCTATTTAGTATTCATAAATCTTCTTTCAACAAACCGACTGTATCCCACCAAAACACGGTGGCCCAAAAAGAAAAACAAAAGTTTCCCTTTTTAACTTAAGTAATGTATACAGGAGAAGGGGTTACTAGCCCCCATGCTCCCAGCATTTCAGTCTCCTCTTACGACACGCATGGCTAACAGAGGAATAATTCTGTTCCACTTCCCCATGGAGAAGTATTCATAAATATTTTTACAAAAATAAACTACTGTACTGTACTCCCTTACAATTCTCAAATTCCACATTCATGACTTTGGTTATTTGCAAACTATTTTTTGATAATATATTTTGATATCCACTGCCAGTATCCCCAGATTTATGATTGCAAAGTAGTATTATTGCGTTATTGGCAAGTCAGGCTCTCAGAACCACAAAGTCATGTCAGGTAAGCCATTTTCTAATAATTCCTTTCAGATTACATCCCACCAATATGTAGTGTGTGTTAGATGACCAATATGCATTACAAGTGCTCCCA